CGTGGGGTGTTTCCGTGGAGCGCTGATGAAGATCGCAACTAGTATATATTATATATATACACATATATGTGCTTTATTTGTATATATATATTGTATATATAATTAAGACGCCGTCGTGAGAGAGAACGCACGGCGTTGCGGAACGTATCGAGACGGAACAATATACGAATAAGAGAGAGAGACTAAAGGAGGATATATCGCGGAGGATATTTCGCCTTTCCCAAGGATCTTTCCAGTCGATTTTTTTTTCCATTCGTCGGAATTCGAATTCGAAAACCCGCACCCTGGAGCAAGCCCTGGGCAGGCCCGATGCCCGCCGATGATACCCCCATTGAGATCCATCATCGACGGGCGTCGACGCTGCAAAACCGCATATCGTGTAACATTAAACGACAAGGACGAGAGAGAGAGAGAGAGAGAGAGAAAGAGTGTTTATTCAGGATGTTTTTTTCCTGTTAACCTCTTAAGGAGTAGGGATTTACGGGGCCCGGAACCGAATTAAAATGGGGCCCCAGAGAAATATTTTCCCTCGTATTACACCTTCGGGGATTTTAATTCACCTGTGCAATCGCGGAAACAGCTTTTCCGTTACATATAGCAATGTGTAGTGAAAAGAGAGAGAAAGAGAGAGAGAAAGAGAGAGAGAAATTAAAATTGAAATTGAGAGAGAGAGAGAGAGAGAGAGAGAGAGAGAGAGAGAGAGAGAGAGAGAGAGAGAGAGAGAGAGAGAAAGCGCGAGAGGGACATTACCGTATTATATTCTCAACAGAACTCTGTATACACATACTTATTGGTGTTATTATCGTTCTTATTCTTATTATTGCTATTATTATCGTCACGCTATTACGTATATTATTATTAGTAAACGAAATGCGACATTACGCGTTTCGTACGAATATTATTATCAGATTATTGCGTATGTCTTATTATATCGTGCGAGATAATGCTCGCGGGCGACGGGATCGACACCTCGCGCGCCACGTTATTGCCATTACTATTCGAGATGGGATTAGATCAAGCATAGCAAGAGTGAAGACGAACACGAGCGAATATTATATTTGTGAACGAATGCAGCGGACGCTTTTCTTTTGATAAGAGACGAAAAGTGTAAACTTGGGGCCTGGCGGCCTCAGTTTACTCAAACCAGCACCTTTGCTCGTGATCGTTTGCGCTTTCTTTGATCTCTGTTTTGATTCGGTTTGAACTAAACGACCGTTAATCAACGCAAGACGTCGTGCGTCGCGTCGCGTCGCGTCGCGTCGCCATTAATTTGTCACCGAGAAATAATATATATATTAATGATTTCATTATATTTCCGTAGATATAACATTGTAGGATCGCGCGGCAGGATTTTATCATGTGCACTTCACTTTATGCCGTGACAGGTGGATCCGTTTAATTTAAACGTTTCCCTCGAGCGAAACGCGGCGCACCGTTGATTGCCGCATTTGACGATTGTCATTGATACTTTTTAAGGGGTTAATCGGGATACCGACGATAACTTAAATGCAGAAAGCTGCCTACAGCATACGAACTATACATACACGTAAAACAAGTGCGTGAAAGCGCGTTGATGTTACATGCCGTGAAGAAATGGAACGGGGAAGGGGAGGGAGAACATTTTTTTCTGAATCGCGCGTTAAATCAGACGTATTTTGAATGTAAAAATCTAAAAATCACTTCTACTTATCTGGCTTTGCGGAGTCCATCAGTTGTCAGTTTCTTGACTTCAACCACGATTCCGCCTTCCGATTCCATTCGCGGTGTAACATCCGCGAGGCAGGACGAATGGACCACACTTGACGTTCGAAGAAATAAGGGACACGTACATATACATACACACGTTTACGAGATACGTATACATAATATATATAAACGGAGAGGCGGAAAATAGTCACGTACACGGCAACACGTACACAAAAAAAAGAACAGAAGCGAACACACACATTTGAAAAAAAAAAACGGTAATTAGACATTACATTTTTCGAAACACGTCGCGCCACCACTACATTGTTGATATAAATTGCGATCCATAATATGATTATTACTATTTACGATATAATTATTATCTTGCATTGTCTAGTCATACGTTATTATTGTATAACTAACGATATTAATTATTAATTAATCTGTACTACCTAGTCGCATTATGTGTTGCATAAAGAGAAAAAAAAAGAAAACTACGAAAATTCCGAATGCAAGAGAGAGACCACGCGAGCGAGAGCACGAAAGAGAGAGAAAAAAAGAAAAAAAAATAGAAAGAGTGAGTGAATATAAGAAGAGAGCAAAAGAGAGACGGTTCGGACAATGATAATTCGCGCGATGGCGAACAACGACAAGTGCAATATGAGGCGCTGAAAATGAAGAGTTGCCCTTTTGCAATGAGAAAGAAAGTAAGTACAATTAATGTGAAATAACGGTGACACAGAGAAAACCCTTTCAACATAAATGGTCTATTAAAACGAATAATATAAGAAAAATAAGAAGTGATTCTTTCTCTGAAACCGGACTTGAGCTAGTTGTATTTTCAGCGCTTCATATGACCCTGTGCGAGGATGCGAAATCAAATAAGAGAGAAAGAGAAAGAGAGAGAGAGAGAGAGAGAGAGAACGTGATGAAAGTGCGTGAGGGAGAAAAAGGGCGAGTGCGAGGATTTCCTTCGCGAATGTGAACCGCTGATAAATCGATAATGATCGAGTCGTAGCGATCGGATTTGTGATATATTGGGCGAGAGGCGGGGAAGAGGGAGAGAAGCATCGAACTTTCGTCGCGATTTCTTTCGTGTCCGATTTCGTGATCTTGCTGATCGAAGCGAACGAGAATCGCGCGAAAGCGAGCGGTCGGCTAATCCGAGTCGCTCGGCGCTTTAACGAAAGAAGACTGATGATTGTAATCCGGCAAAACGTGCACGATTTATAGACCTTTAAGCAATTATTATTAAAGAATCGAAACTGCTAAACAGCTAAAATATTGCTAAATACGATAGAAAAATCTAATTGATCGAACAATCAGATTCTTTGAGAAGCAGGAAATTAGCGGTTGATTCAATCGTGGTGTTGTAAATTGAAAGATACATCATCATTGCAGTTATCAACGGATAATTTGAAAATAACTTGGAAAGAGAAGAATAATTAAAATCGTAGAAAGAGAATCGCAAGAATTACAAAAACCAAGAATTCCAAAAATCCTGATGAAGTTTCTTTCTAATTTATATCCCCAAGTTTCCTCTGTCGCGATGACTTGTCGCGCGCGACGACATAATGACGATTTATAGATCAGGTGAAGCGCGCACGATAAAAAAAAGATACTGAAATAGATCGCTATGTCTCGATCAATCGTATGTCTGCGATTAGGAAAGGTGTAAAGTGATAACACCAGCAATCTAATCGACAGGGTTGGGAAAGTACTTTTTAAAAGTAACTCGTTATCGTTACTCGTTACCGAGTTAAAAAAATAATTAATTACTGTCACTACAAAAGAAACTCGTTAGCATTATCGTTATTTAAAAAATAATGGTTCGTTATTTTTTCCGTTTACTTCTTTAATGCTAAAACAAGATTAGAATAAAAAAATTTATATTTTTAAAATATTAATAAAAGCAATAACAAACTTTTTATCTTAAATTCGCAAGATTACAAAAATTTGAGAAAGATTTTAAAATGGTGAAAATGTAAATAAAAAGTTCTCAGTTTTGTAAAATTTATAATTGCAGCCTTTATATTTTTTTATTAATATTTTTTTATACCCTCGGTTTTATGTTTAAAACTTTTAACATGATAAGCAGCTCGGTAAGCGTTTAATGATTTTTTAATACGATTGGCTTTTGTCTTTAGTTCTTTACTGGATCTAACAATAAGTGTGTCAAAATCAATTGTAATGAAGAATCACTAAATGCTCACTGAAATTAATTGCTTTATCTGTTGAATGCAATCTATAACAACGAATTATGAAGATATTTGTAATTCTGCTACAAATAAATTCAAAATATAAAAAGTAACTATTAAATTCGTTACCGTTACAGTTACAAGAAAAAAAGTAATGCCGTTACTAATCCGTTATCAAAAAAAAGTAAGTGTAACGGCAACGGCGTTATAAATAACGCGTTACTTCCCAACCCTGCTAATCGAATGATGATTATGATAGTGAGAAGTAGCGAAAGATAGAGCGAGAGAGAGAGAGAGAGAGAGAGAACGAAAAAAAACGTAATTACTGTCATGAAACACGCGCGCGCGCGTCGCAAGGCTTTCTGTGACGCACCCGTGCGTGCAGGTATAGTAGAACAAAAGAAAAAAAGAAAAAAATTGAAGAACAAAACGAGTATTAAATATATGCGGGGGCCATGGAGAGGAGGGAACCTTCCTTTTATCCGCGTGCAAAAGAGATTTAAACAAAAGGAAAAACACCGACGGGCGTCGTCCTCCACCGCTTTCCGCGACGTCCGTCGGCATCCCGTTTTCACGAAAAGAAAAAAAAGAAGAGATAAATTTAAGGCAGACATAAAATGCGCGATAAAAAAAAAAAATATATATATATATTATATATATATGTGAGAAATATGATTATATACATATACATATACATTATACACGTATACGCGGTTCGCTCTCGGTTTTCATCCGAACGCAGCATCCCTGTATCCCGCAAAAGACATCCCCTTTACGTGCATCGCGCCTCTTCTATCCTTCTGTGCAATCGAAAACCCCATCCTGCCTTCCTGCTTTCCTCCCTCCCTCCCTCCCTCCCTCCCTCCTACCCGAGGAGAGCTCGCGGGCCCTCCCCATATTGCAATATTTGTACTTTTCCATGTTGAAACCTCGATATATAATAAATTATATTAACAAACTTCGATCGCCTGTCATCTCTCGCATGAATGTTACCTATTCATTGCGCCTCAAGAAATTTTCCTTGTCTTTTCTTTAGCTATTACATATATGCTTTATGTAATAATAGGAAGTGATAAATGGAGAGTCAGATAAATACAATAATAATAAGAATGTTGCTAAATTCGTATGTTGCTAAGTTGCTTTTATTTGATAATCACTTGTAACGTATTTTCTCTGGCAAAAGGTAAATGTTAATTCTCCAGTTACCTTAGTCTATTAGAAAACATGTTTCCACGATAAATGGCAGCATTCCTTGATTTACGATTGAAACCGTTCCGTCGAAATTGTACGCGCAAATATCTATCTGTGACAAAGTTTCAAGAAAAAAAATTTTAACCACAGAGTTTTAGTCAGATGACAATCACATTAAAAATATCTATTTTTTCTTCTTCGGGGCGAATTCTAAGCCTCTTATATAGTTCTTTTTTATCTGGTATTTTTCTGTAAATGATAAACAAAGTTACAGAGTTTGCGTGATTGTAAAATATTAAAATAAATATTAAAGTCAAAGTGACTCACCCGTGAGTAATTTGTACACATATAAAATTTGATTCCCCTGAACAAGAACACTAGGCGTCTTTTTGCCAGGATCGTCAGTGATTGTCGCGCTCGCGCCGATGCCCTGGCACTCCTTACTGAATTCTTTCGGATTAATCCCGAACGTTTCCAGGTTGTTCACCAATGTTACCTGCAATTTGCGCGATGCCATCAGAGAAAAATAATTGATAATAAATAATTCCTGTAGCATTTATTCCGAAAGCCGCCGTTTTTACCTTCTTCCCGCCCGATCGCACCGTCACTCTCATGTCGATCGGTTCTAGTTTTCCCGTGTGCAACAAAGTATTTCCCGCGAGGGTAACCTCATGCATATGCGTCATGCGTCCGATAAACTTGTTTATCCCATCCTCCATCGTCACCGTCTCCTGATGAGCCTTGGTTCGCATGATTCCCGCCAATTGAGGATTCAGCTTTAACGTCCTGCAAAATTAAGCGCTATCAATGGAGAAAGAGAAGCGAGGTCGAATTTGTGTGTCGAGTGAAGGCGTCGTCGTCTTACTTTCCGTTTTGCAGATCCTCCGCTTTCACGTACTCAGCAAAACACTTTCTGATCTCGGCTCTTTTCATTACGTCACCCTTTCTGCAATCATCACCATGTATTCGATGTAAAGTGAACGTACGTTTATATATTACGACGATGTAATATTCAACGACTTTTATTGTCATCATCGCATAGAAAACCGTCTCTTCTGTAATTACATTCCGTCGCGGTAAAATGACGTCACTCAGCAAATGTCCATGCCTACCGTACTTACTCATAGCCGAATTTTGACAGAACTGGCAGAACGTCGGCGGTCACTCGATAACACTCCGACACGACAGCGCTGTTCGAAACCACTGGTTCAGCCGCAACTGGTCGTTCTTCGGTAACGACTAATTTCTTCACAAGCGGATGATCGAACTGAAAAAAATTTCTTGCAGTCGCGCGATAATTAAAAAGAAAGCTTATTTCTAAAAAGATTTTTAATTTTTAGTATTTTTACATTCTCAGACTGAGATTAACAATAAGTTAAAGATTAAATCTTTATATCCAAGATGGTTTAAAAATAAGCTTCTTAATTATGTCAGAAAAGTGTATCAAAAAACAAATGTTACCTTAATGGAAAGCAATGTTTCGACACCTTTTGTGATAGATGTATTAATTATTCCCTTGGCCTTCATTTCCGCTAGAAAAACCGATAGCTTTTTGTACCGAGATTTCTTCACATCGACATTTTTACCCGGCGGACAAGCGACCAACAGATGATTTTTGAAGAAGTTGGACGACAACATTGGCAGATCGCTAGACTTCACCGTCATTTTGCACGCTTTCAAGAAACAATACTCCAGTAGCTTATCCATCTCTTCGACTGGGTCAACTACTTCTGGTTCAACTATGTTTGAAATTTGTACATCTTCAGTTTCTTCATCTTCTTCTATATGCTCCTAAATAACATAAAAGCAATTAATTTATCTTCATTTATTTTCATGAGAACTCATTATCTCAGATATATTATTTATCTACCTGAGAAATGACTTCGTTCTTGACTATGTCGCTTGAATTCTCGCCGACGTTTAATTCATCCAACTGAACCGACAGATTTTCGGTTTGATCCACGATCTCTTCTTGATTAATTGATTCGATGTCCTCCAACGTATTTGTGGGGCTTTCAACGTTCGGTGAACCCAAATCAGGCCTCAGGGGTGGTTTGCCTAATTGACACAGCATATCGCCGATGACATGGAAAACCTCTACGCACTTTCCATGTCCAGCTGCCATATACATGTCCTCGCTGGAAAGCGCGGTGACGCCGACAGCGATTGCAGCCTGCAGAAGGAAACAGCCTTTTTTTCTCGTCAACATTTTTTCATATGCGATCAACTGATAAAACGATAAAGATCCTAACCTTGTTTTCTTCGGTGTTAATCGACACTGGAGTACCCTTGCGTAGTTTACCAAAGGTATATAGTGTCACCGGCTCCTTCAGAATCAATCCGGGTAACATGAGATCTGCACCGCCTACCAATTTAGATATGACTGGCGTGTGCGTAGTGAAAGTGTTTAACAAATATGGATGGTGCCATAGCGTATAAATTGTGGGAAACAGCACTATGTCGTACGAATCCAGTTGAAAGAACATAGGTATCTTGGCGACGCAGTACACTTTGCCTACATGTCCATTGTGTGTTAATATTTTCATAATGCTGATGGATTCCTTCTTGGGTAACAATGACTGAATCTCTTCGTCCGACAGACTCGGATATGCCGCCAATATCTCCTCGCATAATTTTTTCCTGAAAAATAATAACTAATTCATCTGTCTCCGCTTAGCATTCGAATGTAAGCCAAACATATACCGTAAAAATAAATTTCACTCAAAACATCTGACTATTATAGTCAGATTTATAAATTCCTTTTTACTTTATATTATTTTTCGTGGGAAAATATGTTTGTAAAAAATGTTAACGAAAAAGACATTCGTCTGACAGATGAGTACACAGGGTATAAAATTTGGAGCTACCGAATCAAGGGGACTTGAAAACGTCCAAAAAACACTACGAACCTTTCAGTCCCTTTCAGCTGGTAATTGGTCTTGACTTTGAACGGCTTGATAAACATTTTGAACGTGCGAAATCTCCGATCGGCTAGCGTACGACGTTTAAACCTAACCCCGATTTCCCATACGGCGCCGCATCCTTATTTATCCCCGTTGATAGATGCTGCGCGGCATAACATTCTGGATATACGTGGAAGCGCTGCCAACATCACGGACGTCGACGACGAGAGTTCTACGTTCTACCTCTCGCTTTCGACAAAAATATTGATCTCTACATCAATCAGAGACATTTGTTTTGTTTTGGTGTCATACGTTATATTTTTGAAATAAATAAGTTAACTTAAGGAAAAAATAGAAGGAAAAAAGATTTCATTACCGTATCATTATTGTTCATTCTACTATGTTTTCTTTCTGCTCCTCTCTCTCTCTCTCTCTCTCTCGTTCGTTCTCGCTCTTTCACATCAAACCTAAAAGTGCAGAAACAAACAGCTGATTTTTTAGACTTTGATCAGACTCCAATTAACTTACAATTAATCAACGATTAATTCAGATGGCCGAATTAGACATTAGCGAATGTTTATTGACTGTATAACTGATTATCCCTAATCAGCTAATTCTTTTCACATGTTGAGCAATAAACAATTAATAATTTCCAGTTCCAAGCAACAAATTGCACAAATATCGCTCGGTAAATTGATCACCGATTAAGTCAATCGAAATCTTATCTCGCTTTGAGCGTAGAGAGTGCATGGTGCAAGGATCGAAGTACAATACAGCTGATAAACATTCCCCTACTCCGCCGCAGTCCACCCCGTCCGCGCCTGCCGCCACTCCACTCCGCCCGCCCTCCTGTCATACAGACACAGTGTCGCGCGTGATGTCCTCTTACGGCACACGTGCAAACAGTACGTGCGAAGTGTGCGCCGCGAGGTCGACATAACCTCAAAAGCGCGTCATTATGCATAATCGAGCCGCGACGGGCGGCCCGCGAGCGTTTTGAGGTCGTCGCGATCACGGGAGGATCGCGCGCGCACGTCGTCGCCTCGCCGTTTGCCTAATTGAAAGAAGGCCGGGGAAAGACAAGACAATGACGATCGTCAACATCTTGCTGCGGCTGGACGTCGCGATCAGGTTTACCGGAGTCAGAGTGAGTTTTCCCTCTCCCCGGCACTTTTCCCTTTTCGTGCGCGTCTGCCACGATCTGTCCGTCCTTCTTTTGCTTATGGCCATCGACCTCTTATTTTTCTCTCTTTTTCTTCATTTCGGCGCGCTCGGGATCGCGATCGCGCGTACATACGTGCCACCACCGCTGTATTGTTATTATTGTTCGCATTTTACATAATGCTCTTTCATAACTTTGCCATTGTGCTATGCATTATTTTTAGTTTTATGTATGCAACGCACCATTCTCTAACGATGCGGCGTATTCATTGAAGGTCGTGTTTGCTTTCCTCTCATTGACTCACTTGATGTCGATCTTTGCTTTATACTTGTTATCGAACACTGATAAACAATTTATCATTGCCTTGACGAACGTCTCATTCAAAGTTCTCGAGATATTCTGCAAAACAAAATTTAATTTGAATTAAATTTTTTTACCAATCATCTGTCAGTGATAGATTTTTATTTTTATTGATATTTCTATTCCAAAAAAGTGCTACAGTATTTATAATAATTATTAACTGTAATTTATTTTATCTAATTTCAAGAATTAGAATTTATATTAAATTGTGCTTTCTTCTTATAATTTGCAAATTAAATACATTATACCTTTGGATGTGAAATTTATTTATGAAAATAATTTATGAAATAAAGATACTTTTGTATTCATTTTCATGCTATTTCAAAGATAGAAATAATTAGATTAATTTAGTGCTAGAAATGTAAAGCTCTGTAGCTTTGCTACTTTAAAGAGACTTACTTGAAGAATTTAAATGTGTTATGTTTATAATTAGCCTTAAATAATATAGATTTATTTTTTCTGTTTGCAGCATTTAAGTACAAAACCAAAATTTGGTTTACTTTTTGACATTGACGGCGTCATAATACGTGGAAAAAAAATATTGCCGCCTGTAAAAGAGTCTTTTAAACGGCTTCAAGGGGACAATGGAAAATTTCGCATTCCCACGCTGTTCGTCACCAACAGCGGGAATTCACTGCGCAGTCAGAAAGCTGCAGAGCTGTCGGAATGGATAGGCGTCCAAGTCACGGAGTCGCAAGTCGTCCTGGCTCACTCACCATTGCAAATGTTCGATAATCTACACAATAAACAAGTTCTCATATCTGGTCAAGGCCCAATAACGGATATAGCCCGGGAACTGGGATTCAAGAAGACGACGACTATGGAGGAACTAGTGAAGAACTTTCCTTGCTTAGACTACATAAACGTGAAGAAGAGAAGTCCGATTTGCGGCCCAGTCGATCCAAATTTCCCGCAAATCGATGGAATCTTGCTCCTGAGCGAGCCGATACATTGGGAAACGCCATTGCAATTAATGGTAGATCTACTAGTTACCAACGGAATGCCCACAGGATTGCCTACTGCTATTCCATATCCGCACATTCCAGTGTTGGCGTGCAACATGGATTTGCTATGGGCGTCGGAGGCGCCGATTCCCCGATACGGTCACGGTGCTTTCTTGTTGTGTCTTGAAAACTTGTACAAGAAGGTCACAGGGAAAGACATGATGTACACTGCTCTAGTCGGAAAACCTAGTGAGATTACATATTACCATGCCAATCAAATGCTCGTTAATCACGCCAGAAGCATCGGCATTAACAATATCGACACGATTTATGCTATTGGGTGCGTATGCCAAACAGAATCATCGATTAAATGCATTAATAGGCACAGCTTATATAATATATGTATTATATTATAAATTTTAAAATATAACTTATGATATATATTTATTTTTACAGCGACAATATTAATACCGACATTTTTGGCGCGAATCTATACGACAAGTATTTATCCCGCTACGAGTCCGGAGAGGGGACTAAATCCCGCAGCCTAGAAAAACTCCTTGGGAAGAACATGAGGGATCCCAACGCGAAGGCCTGCATTAGTATTTTAGTTGAGACTGGCGTGCACCAACGAGACTCCAAATTTATACCCGAACACAGTCCCAGGGATTTCTTGCCGGTCGACGATGGTCTTTGTAAACCGGCATTTATCGTGAAGGACGTCGGGCAGGCTATCAATCTTGCGTTTAAAGAAGAGAAGTTTGAATAAGTTAGCGTATAATAGGTAGCCTTGGGATATTATTATCCTTATATTATTGAAGAAAAAGAGCAAGAGAGAGAGAGAGAGAGAGAGAAATAACGTGAGTATTATAGCAAATAATCTTTTAGAAAGTGTTAGTCTTCGACATAGACAACGTTTCGTAACGGAGAAACAGAAAATAGCAGGAGAGGCTATAATACGTGAAAGTAATATATTATTTTGCTCCTTTTTTTAATATCTTTATGATTCTTTTAAACTGCCTACTTAATGAAAAATAAATAAATAAATTCTAGCGTATTTCAGCGAGTTGTATGAATTAAAGAAAAGAATTACGCGAAAACGAAGTTATAATTCGGTTTATTTAGATTATCGTAGATATAGAACAACAGAAAACGATATTGCCATATTATTGTAAAGTTGAAGCGATAAACACATATATAAAACGTATATGTGCATAGAGGACTTTTATTATGAATTTTAATATAATTATGACTGCTAAAGTAAAATTTTGTTCAAGCAACGGTCTGGTACATGTGCAGTGCATAATTTTATAAATATTTAACTGAAATTTTATTAGATAATTCGACACATTGTACATGAGCCATCTCTAAGCATGCGTTATTACAGATAATTATATCGTAGTTGTATGGTAAACTGAGCCGAACGTTTTGATCTGCAAAGTACACTGTGCACTACGCCTCGTTTAGTCGAAAGCAATGCAAGATATGCAAAGTGATACATATAACGCTCCCATAGTAGATAAATAATAGACATAATTTCGATCCGCTCTTAAAATTTGCAGCTGTGTTCTGAGAATTATATGCAAAAGTATAATCTATACTAAAAGTAACATATGAAATATGAATAGATTACACTTTATAATATATATACGTATATAGCCAGGTCTAGTCTTGAAATGCAGCTCATTAGCGGATGCGAATAAATAAATAAAAAGTATAGACAGATTTTTTTGTAGTTATAATAGACCAAAACTAAAGGACAGTTGCCTTTCGTCGCGAAAATGAATTTATTATAATGAATGAATACAAAACAACGAGAATTTATTCTGCACAATTACGTCATTAAATTATTATTTTTCGGAAGTAAGGATTGGTGTATGTAAAATTTATAAAAGATTTTTTTTTTAAGAATTCTATAAAAGCGCTTCTCTTTGAAGATCTGAAATTTAATTCTACAGAGTAAATTCGATTCTTCTCGATTTATTAATTTCTTTTTATATGTGATATCTCAAAATATGATATTTTAGCAAAGGATTATTTAACATTTTTGCTCAAATTAATCGCTATTCTAAACTGAAATACTTATCCTTAAAGTGCCATTCGTGCGTATCGAAACATCCTATGCATAAAAGTCGCATGAAATTGACGACAAGCTAATTCGAAGGTAAAAACGCACATTTATATCTTGTATTTGCCTTTACGGCGCGATTTTGACACAATGATAAAATCAAATATAATTATCAACAACGCGTTAATGTCCGTCGGGACAAAGACTGACCACTTAAATAGGATTTAAAAGAACATCGTGAACACCGGCTTATCATTCATTCGCGACAATGAGGTATCGTGCAACGGTCAAAGCTACAACGATCACATGCCAATAAAACTTCTGCCTCTGTCGCCAGCATCACTTAATAAGTTAACGAAAAAAAGAGATACACTATACTAAATCGAAACACATACATAGATATACATTACATATAGAGAGATAATTTTTAAAAATTTTCCAAAATTATTTACATTATACATATATATTTATATACAATACATTTAAATATAAATATATATTTAAAATTATAAAATTTATATGTATATTATGTATATTGTAATACACATATATAAATATACATATATAAACATATGTATAATTATTTACATATTTCTCATATTCACACACATGCATAATATATATTTTTTTAGTATCGTGTATCTCTCTTATATTCAAGACAGTTGTTATATGTGTAGAGAGTGTCGTGTTTTTCATCGAGGGCAATATCAATAATTATATCTCTTAACTATATCGAATGTAGAATTCTCATGATGTAGCGTCTGTGACTTTTATGGAGCAAATTAGAATTTATTTTAATAAATTGCAGGTTTATTTATTTCACCCATCTTTGTAATCTTCAAAGGAATCGGAATTCCATAAGATTATTGTCTTAAATGTACGTCAAATTTTTGCATTTTTAATTTCTTTAAAATTTGTGGTCGGTTTTTACTGCATGTAATGCCTACCTTGCACGATGCACAATTTACACACTGACCTTGTCAGCAGCGTATAATTATTCATGTCGCAGACAACACGACGGCTGGGTCTCATGACCCTTGAGCTGAGCCGTCAAATGTTCGATTAAATAATTCGATTGCAATCAATTTAGCAACCATTCGGGCGGCCTAAGTAAGTTCATAACGATATAAGTAAGTTCCCCAACCTGATGTCAGCCATGAAAATTAAAAGCCGCAACAGCTAATTCAATCCATTAATATGTACGAATTTTATTTCCGCGACATTTCGATTCTTGTAACTTAGAAATAAGAGCGAAAAATGATGCTCATTTATCAATGAAAGCTCATAAATTAATAAGCATTAAACATATGTTTTGCTAGATGTTTCTTAATTAATTTTTATTCGCATGAATATATACGTGCATGTTTTAGAAAAGTTTTTTGAGAAATTATTTTTTTAGGAAATTTTCCAAAGAAAACTATATATTTGATAATACTCAATAAATAATCGTTAAAACAATAGAGCTATGATAATATTAATTTTTAATAGTCATATAATATTAAATATTCATAACGAGATTATAATTCATGAAAACATTCGAAGGTTACTATGAATCACGATAGTCTTTTTATTCAATAACTTTGTTGGTTTAACTAATTAAAAACAGGTACTCGTACACGCGACCTACATTTTATTGTTAACGGTTTACGCACGCTGACAGGTTTTTAGTGTTCCAGATTGAGACTTGTACCGTGGAAGTATCGTAATATATCGCGTTCTGTCGGACGCGGAACTGGCATAACCGGCATGACCAGCTTAATCCTGATACGACGTCGATCCGATTAGTATTACTTTCTAAACTGTGCACACAGCTCATCCTTATACGAGCAGTGTATATATTCTATAAATTATCAATTAATTTTCCTTACTTAAATTTTTACAATTATTGCATATAAAAATATTTATAATATTTAAATGTATCATTTAATCATTAATTTATTATTATATTTTTTCGGTATCTACTAATAAAAAAACAAAATTCTCTGCGTTCAAATCGTTAAAACTAAATCGATTCTATTTTTGATACAATTACTAAATTTTATTAAATTGTTCCACGTTCAGTCACACATCATATTTTCAAAATAATACAGGTACAAGATAAACTTAATTTGATAGTCACACTATCATAGAATAGATAATCCGTTAATGGTTAACAAAGACATCACTTTGAATTACATGAGTTGAAATACACGTTTGAATTTCTTATCTCAAATAACTTGCGATAAAAACATTTCCTGTTATAGATAAAACCACTACCGGTTTTTCTTTTGAAATTTCCTTTGCATAATATATATGAAAGAATGCACTCTGCAACTTGTGTAATATATTTTTCAAACAGGCGCGCGACAGCTTGAATGTAGGTACAATGACAATTCCAGTGAGTAATGTCGGATTAGCAATTTAGCAGCAAGGTCAATTACATTAGCCTGAACTAATATATTAATAAAGTCGTAAATTAGGCGACCGTCTATACGCGATAAAAGACGTGGGTTGCAGCGGGCATTTAAGATTAGAATTCGAAGTCCCGCATCGCGTTCAGTTGCATCGCAGGCTGGAGATAAATTGCTCTTCAGTCTCATCTCTTCCAACGTACAACTCAATTATTTAGGAACCATAGAATAATCATTACGAAACGAGATATCGCATTTATATAAGAGAATAAGTAATTAGTATATTATTGGAGCGCGATAATCAGTTTTTTCCTTCAATTTATCTTCATCCGGCGAACAGACGCAACGATGATTGAAACGCGAAAGTTTAATTCTCACGAAGATTTCACTATCGGGCCTCCTTCCCTTCCTTTTTCTAAAAAAAAAGAAAAAAAAAGAAAGAATGATTTCCGCACTCGATTTCCCGGGGTTTATGGATAATGTGGGAAACGTTTGTTGCGTCAGGGAACAGTAAACTACGCGTAGTATATACTTTAATTAACGCGAGTGTATTATCTTTATATCTTTGTATATTAGATACACGTTGTATATACAGTGTTTGATGCAGTAACATTGGCAAGTCTGACTTGCCTTTCGCTATTTAATTCTTCTAAATTTAACCCGGAAGAGATGAAGAGTAGCTTTAGCAGTTTTTATCTTTTCTTCTTTCCACTTTAGCACACAGCAACTAACGACTTGCAATAGACAAGGAAGAGACGTAGGTCTTGCATAATACACTAATAACACAATGCGGGAACGCTCACGTGTGTCATTAGACTTGTGTTACGGTGATCGCGTACAGTGGCACGACGAATATAACATGTGGCGCGAGTGCAAAATGCTGTTTTTCACGCTTGTATTCCGCTGGAAATGGCCGTTTGATTGTACGGAAATTAAAATATCTGTAGCATAAAACCTTCTTTCTCAGTCGAGAAAAATTGCTTGGAAAAAAAAACGTGTGATTTTATCCAATGCGCGTTTTCTTTTCACAACGCATTGTTTCCTTTGAATTGTACGTTGTAATTTTTACGACGTAATTTGCTCTACAAATATGTGCAGTTTTCGATGAAAACGTTGCGTTCATGTGATCTTCCTGAGAACGTAAAGTATAATATATGTATATAACGTTCTATTGATGTATTAACGTTCTATAGATTCTGCAATTTTCGTATTTGATTAACATGGCCAGTCTCCGCTCAAATACAGTTATGCCTACAAAGCACGCATGATTTTTAAGAATATTATCTCCATCACGATTTAAGTATAAAAATTTTTATTCTCGCCGTGCGTTTATCGCAAAATGCGATGGTCTTACTTCAAACTAAACGTAACGTGTCGCGTTAAATAAATCCCAGAATCAAATAATCGGATTGTCGTTGAAGTGAAAATGCAAGATGATGCGCGGAGAAAGAGCTTGGTATTCTGAGTATTTTCAATGTATAAATATTAGGGTAAACGGAAAATTCGTTTCGTTTTTTGCTAAGACATTGCATTAGTATAAATAAAAAAAACGAAACGGACTGAATCGTTCAATCCATCAGTTTAAATATGTAGTAAAATAGTTTGAATGCCAAAAACATTTCAAATTTTTACATTTGTTGCTGTCTGAATGACTAATGCAAGTCTTCAACGCTAAACATGTCACTTTTTTGCGCGTCACTTGTTATTCATTCATTTAGCAACAGGACACATCCTTGATTCTAGCATCCGTCTAGCTTCGCGTCTCGGGAATTTCTCCCAGCGTAGCACTCCATCGCTCTTTGCAGCCTCTCGAGGTATTCCTGCAAATCATTCTCCTGATCCAACTCCCTCGCGTTATCGGAGCGCGCGATAGATCGCTTTTGCACGAGGGCGGAGAGCATCAGAGTCACCACGGGTAGCGTCATGCCCAGCAGGAAGGTCGGCGTCATGATATTCTTCAGGCCGTGCTTCTTGAAGCCGCGAAACAGCTCCGACCAGATACCGTCGTCCTGCTCCTCCTGATGCTTGCCCAGCTTCCCGTACAAGTGCGGCCGTATCTTACCGGTCGTGGCGATGTAATTGTAATAGTGAGGATCGTAGGACTGTGCGTACAACTGTGAATAATAGACGGGGGCCTCCTTGTGGGCGGGTGGATGATCGGAATCGGGAAACCAGGTGCTCGCGTCCTCATAGGGAACCGGTGGGTTGCTGAGGATGGGCGGTCCACGATGAAGACCCGGTGGTTTCGTATAGATCACTTCCATCGGAGCCTTGGCCTTGAAAGGAACTGAGACGTACAGAAAGACGTGCGATTAATTCCATTGATGGAAAATTCCATTGAAAGAAGATTATATAATTTATTTGCGATACATTAAATGTATTCTGCACACGTTGCCGTTTTGCAATATGAATATATGTTAATGTTGGCTGACAATTATACGCTGCTTTTAAAAAAAATTGATCATTATGTAACTGTAATTATTATAACATCGCGTCTAAATTTATTGGTTTTTCTTATTTTTCTTTCCGATTATGATAAGACGACGTGGTCTTACACGTGTGTCTGTTCTGTGATGCAAATGTATGTTAATACTGACTTATAAGCACAAAAAAATATACAATATGTTACTCTTAAAAGAAAAAATATTGTGCTTTATGTCATTCTTAAAAGAAAAAGTTATTAATTGATCATTATGTAGTTAGTCATTACAATATGCCATGTCGTGATTGTTTGAATTATTAGAGGACGTGACTGAATCATGATAAATGATTGAAGATAATATCGAATTCGTGTATTTAAATGCAGTATTGTTATGTGGATATGATTCATGAATGCGCGAACGTATAAATCAATTTTAAAAAAAGATGGTACATTATAGTGAAACGTGTTTGTCCAGTTTTTCTTTCCGTATAAATTCTGTTAAAAATATTCAACGTGATGTAACACACAGCATACCGTGCATTCTTACAGCATCAAGTTAAAGGTCATACTTCTGGCCAGACCAATGTTCACGCACACGAGACAAGGTGTCAATAAATTGAAGTAGAAGAATAGCAACCGGTGTGAGTAAAAAATTATTACTTGTTAGAAAAAAACATATAAATATGTGAACTGTTCTATCGCGAGAAGATAAAAGTTTTTTTATTGAGTCACACAAAAAATTGTTATTCTCTCGCGTCTGAAAACCTGTCTTTTATCGAATCAGCTCGTCATGCTTCGTTTTTGAGGTATGTTTCCTCACCTGCGATTGGCCCTTGATACAATGCCGGCGCTATCCTGGGTTGCGCGAAGGGAAACGGTTTTCCGCGTATCCTCCTCATTCTCTCTCGCCACATCGCTGGTGATATCATGTCATTCCTGGCTTGGAAAGCGGGCACGAGCGGCACTGGTTGCAGCATCTTCTGCCCGAGGACGATTCCGCCTGGTGTCCTGATCACGGGCTGTACCGCCTGTACTACGGTTGGTTGTCCCACATAGCCGTAAGTCTGACCGGCAGACGGCAACGGTCGTTGCCGCTGATCGGCTTGCGACGTTACTTGTGGCACCAGCTGAATCTGGTCCACTTGCGACGTCAGCTGCACCTGGTGTTGATTCACCTGAGGGACCAGCAACTGTTGCTGTTGTTGGTTGTTCACCTGAGGGACTAGCAGCGGTTGCTGTTGCTGGTTGTTCACCTGAGGGACCAGCAATTGTTGCTGCTGCTGGTTATTCACCTGAGGAGCTAGCAACTGTTGCTGTTGCTCGACATGGGTGCTCAATTGAGGGTTGAGGAGCTCGGTCGACTTGAACGACTCCTGATCGACAATCACGTCCGAGGGTCGCGATTGATCCTCCGGCGGGTGTTGACTGCGGAAATAGTGCTCGAGAGACAAGCGAGATTCCTCAGGTGTCTTGGAGTTCAGAAACGTGTTCAGCGCGACCTCCGCCTGACTGATTGGTGAGTTTCCGGAAGAGTCTTGGAATTGCCGAGCGGACGTGTCCGTTTGGAAGGCCTGGACCGAAGGCGAAATCTGTGATTTGAGAAGATTATCGGTTTCCGCCGCTTGCTGTAAACGCCCATCGCTTTCGGACTCTATAATCGGATATAACTTCTGAGAACGAGACGATATTCCGGGATGGGAAAGATCGATTGAAGCGTCATTTTTCCTGGATCTCTCGGAAAGGTTGCTCTCCTCCGCGATGTACTCGGTGTACTCCGTGAACGGATTTCCCTCGTAGTTGAGCTGGCTGCTCGCCAGATTGATCGCGAGGACGAGAAGTATTGCGAGCCTGATCATGATTCTAAAAAGGAAAGATCACCTTAAAGTGTTCAAGACACACATAATATGAAAGATTTTATATATTCTAATAGCTTTATATCAAGTTCGCTATATCGGGCAACTTAATCGTCATTATATCCCAGCGGGACTTTGTTAGCGACGAAATCTCTGGTCGTAAATTTTAATGACGACATTCTCGGTCAAGAGAGTCGGCAGTCGGCATTGCCGCTATTCCAGCGGAACGAACGAGTGTGGGATTTTTAGCGTGCTGTAACGGGAGAGGGAAGAAACGATGTGCTCGCGGGATGTAGCTTCGCGCACATAACAACGATTGTCTCTAAATGCCTGCGAATTCCTACGTACAACCACGTTGCTTTTACTCGTCGCGGTTAAGAACGATGTAAGTGGAACAGGACGGGAGAATGTCTCCTCGCGGCAATTTCGCCGAAGTCCTTTGCCATTATTTGCAGCGGCTATCATTTAGCGACCGGATTCGACAGATGCGAGCAATCGAAGAGATAGATCGAGGACCGGTGAATATGCATCATAATGCGCTACACGCATTCACAAATCGTTGACGGCGTGACACTTTCGTCGGTCAAGAGGCGAGGCGCGACAATCAACAAAACGCCGGGAGACGATTTCAATGACTTGCGAGTATTTAATTAACTTGATCTGTCCCAATGTCCCATTTTCGGAAATTTTATGAGATACGATTTCTCCGTATGCAGATGTTCAAAATTCTACCAAGCGCATTTTAATGAAGAAATTAGGTATACAGAGTTCCGAAATTAAAAAATAATATTGTAAAGATAATATTAAAAACTTTATTGATATTTTGTACTTCGCACGTATATCTGTGAAATGATGGAAATATTGAATCACAGGAAATCGAGATACGGCGCATCGAAAGTACTCGCATGTTAAAACGTGACCCCGAAACGGAAGGGAAAAGCCGTTCCACGAGAGAGTGATGAACATCGCGAGCACGTTAACCACGTGCGTGCTGGCCCACACCTCGAGGAGAGAGAAAGAGAGAGAGTATTTGGGCCCCAATGTTTGTCCAATGCGACGTGCTCGAAAGCATGCGCGATCGCTGCGTCACGTTGGAGAGCGCGACGCGCGAGATACGCTCCTCTGCTCAATGATTCATGTTTAATAGAAGAAGATTGACTTGACAAATCTCTTTCGATTTTCTTATTTCTCGCTCGATTTATTCTTCTGTTGACGATAAACCAAGTTCGGAATTATTTTCACGACATCATTTATCTATACTGTCGACTTTATCTACTTTTTCGAACTTTTCTAGATTTGCCGCCGCGTTAGCAGAACATGACAATTAAAAGTTGCTTCGCACGCCGGACTACTCCGTAATTGCTCACTAAATCAGCCAAGTCATTACAGTACGCGTTTATGTATAAAATTTTCTGTCACTTCATTTGGTTGCACTTGTATAACCGTGCTCGGACAGCAAAAGTATTCAAAAGAGGGAGACCAATCTTTAACATAAGAGAATTAATCTCTCGATTTTTCGAAATGCCAGCGACTCAATTACGCCTTTTTTATCGTATTGCAATCCAAGATCAATCTGTTTTAGATATTTTAGATAGTTTTATTATTCTCGCTCATTAATATTTCAGTTTTACTGTTACAAATAACGACAGGAGAAAGATAGCTTTCTGCGCGAGTGTCCGCACGGAAATTGGTTTCTGACGCAAATCGTTCTACGACTTTATGGTCATTCCTTGGCGATTCCTGTCCCATCAGTTGTTTCTAAAACCGCTTTCTAAAACCGTTAATTTCATTGGGAATTCAGTGTACGACCGAAATTCAATAGTGCACCCATATCTACTTGAATTATCACGATTGACCTCAAATTCGGTCAGGTATCTGTAGAATGGAACACGTCGATCCTATTCACTCACCCTACTTTCGATCTAAGGTCGAGTCTGATCTGATTCAATAACACGGAAGCGAATAATTTCAATTTTCAATAATCATTTGGGAATATCAATATGACATTTCTATCTGACATTAAAGATGGTATTATATATTTGAATTTAAATGTTTATTTAGCTTCGTAGGCATATTATGAATTTCTTTACCCGAATTTATTTGTCTCAATTTGCAATTTGATGGATGACAAAAATATTAGCACAAAAAGAGATATTAAATTACATACATATTAAGAAATATTAAGAGAAATTATAATTGAATATTTTACGTAATTTTGAGTGTTTTTCTGAATGGAATAATCCGACTGAAAAAGATTAATATCATTTTCAATTCGTAAAATATAACGATGAAACAACGTTTACATAACATTTTATCAGATGCTCGCACATAATTAGCCACGTGTATGTCATTGCATACATTATTTATCATTATTTGTTACATAATTTGATAATTATCATTATAATTATTAAAATTGGTTGCTAAATTTCTCGCATAGTTCTTGATTTAATCTCGAACAATTAATCAATTTCACTTCACCAGACTTATTCCTGTAGTAAAATACACGTATTCATCTGACACATTCTTCACACATTCAGAAGATATAACGTCACTATCGTGGTTAATGGCTGACGGTGCAGTAGTCGTAGGATGCGAAAAAACTTCCGAAATCACTTGAGTGTCCACAAATTGTAATTGACAAAACAACGAAATCTTTTTAATGGAATTCCAAACGTACGATTAGTATATGCGCACATCTTAATTTTTTAATCCATCGACGCGCGTATTTATGAGGATGGAACGGAAGAGATTAAGCATTTTTTTACAAATTATTATATTCAATATTCAAGGGTATATGCGACAAATGAGAAATATTAGAATGTCTGATTTATGTGAGAGTCCCCGGATTAATGCTCGATTTTCGCCCAGGGCGACAATTCGCCTCGCGATCGGCTGACAGTGACGTGACGCGCGATCGATCAGCCCGTCGGATCGTTGAACTTGACCTGATCAGCTCACCGCCAACCGAACGAACGTACCTTCGCGGGCCTTCGCCCTTCTTGATCGCGACCGCGCGCGAGGAGACGACGAGTCCTATCGGTCGGTGCGGCACCAGGAGTACTGAGATGCCGGGACCAACCGGCCGGGAAAGGCATTCACTCCGCTTCGGGAGCGAACTCCCTACTTTAACACCTTGGCCGCGACGGCAACCACCGGTTTACCTCGTAAATTACCTGGCTACTCGCCCGTTTCGTTCTGTGGGAGGACCGGTTCCGAAGCGAAGGAACCGGGAAACGAGTCATCGGATATCCCCAAAACCAATTTCAAGGTTAACCGACCCGCTGGCCGACTAGTATTTTCGGAAAAGGATGCTGGCGAGAACTGCAGGAGTCTGCGTGGGCGATGATGGATGACTTATTAACAGATTATCTAAATATGCGTATTATATATGATATATGCGAGAACGAAGGCCACCTTTATGATTTTCTTCCTCTAGCGGTAGATCCTCTTCAGGGGAAAGGAGTAAAAAACGAGGAGAAAGAGATAGATATGCAAATATATATGTAGATAGATATCGCGAGAGCGAGAAAGAGAGAAAGAACGAGAGAGAATAAAGAACATTTCAAGGTTCATAAATTAATTTTTTATTTTCTTAAGCTGAAGCTTAATTATATACCTATTCTTTTAATTACTAGACTGATTTATTCTTTTAGAGACTCGATAGAATTAAATTTTATTTTCACGAGATTAAAATGGACTAATTATATTACTATTATATTGTATCGTACCCTACTTTTCGATTATTACCGCAGGTATATAGGATTTGCATAATGGGCTAACCGAGGTTACTGTGGCATAAAAATGAAGTTCAGTTATTCGTCGATCTTCCTCCGATATTCATCGATCATCATGCAGGTACCTCGAAACTGACTATAAGGCCGGTCTTCGGCAATCATAGTTCTCCGCGCGAGGCAATGGGGCGTGACGCGATAATCGTATCTTCGAATCGATTCCTCTGATTACGTACGGGAAGCTGCAGCTAGGATATATGAGTGCACTGTGTCGCGAGATCCGGCCGATAATGCGATGGCGATGTGCCACGGGAAGCGGCACGATCATTGCGCAAGGACAAAACGGTCGCAGACGAATTGTTTGTCGAAGGTCGCGAGTCGGATAACGGTCCTTCACCGGCTAAAGACCTACTTAGGGGCACACGGAGCTCGAACTCAATTCGCTTATTTGACCCCCCCTGGAGCCGGGCTCAGGCGGACCCGACCGACCCGGCGAGATTTGTTTAGCCTCCATAAGCGTCGCGAACAGGGACAAATGCGAATTATCATTGCCGATGCAGGTGTCCTCGTGTACCAATGAGACCTCACGGCACAGAGACGATGTATACTATCCGGCGCGTAGGAATATTTTTGCGGCAGAGGATCAAGCTAGGACATCGCTAAATTGTGATTTACGGAAGCTTCTCTAGGTATGAAATTAATTATATCTAAATAATATGTATACGTTTATTGAATACATTTTTGTATTTTAATCCAGAGATTGAACTATATCTCTTCTACGTTGTAATCTAGAACGACTTATACGATATAATGTACGAAGCAATCTTTTAAATATCAAAAAAAATTATCTGTCGTGTGACTATTATAAAATTTAATTCGGTCCAATTGCTAATTTGATTTTTTTAAATTTAAATAATTTTTTAATTTAATTTATGTAATTTTTTTTATTTAAATGAATTTTTTATTTAATTTATGTAATTATTCAATAATTTATTTGATCAATAATTGCTCAAGGATTATACAGATTTGTCGATGTTTTTTTCGTAATTTACATATTCTTGAATAATTATTGAGCTGATAAGAGACATCTGGTAAAAGAGACTAAGGGGCTTCCATCGGACGGGCGGAAAAGGAGAGAAAATATACAAAGAGATCGCGTATACGATACGACAAAAATGGAACACGTTCTACAAATCTCTATCTTAATTTTTAAATCTCTCAAACCCTATCTACACGTAACCCTATATATACCTTTATATGCAAGTAAATTGCACGCATTGCTGAATAAGTATGTTTCACCGAAGATAAAACCATATACTTTCTTCTTCCTGCAATAAATAAAGATTATTCTTCGTTCTTTTTGTCCGAAGATGATTTCATTTCGCTTCCTGTTTCTCTCATTTCTCTTTTTTCTTCTCACGCGCGCGTGTAGTGTCATAAATTAGATAAGCAGTCTGCAGAACGACTTCCAGCGTACGCAACAACAAGAAATCGAAACTTCATCCTCTTCCCTCGCCCGAGGGCTGAACAGCTCGCCAGACGGAATTATTTCTCGCAAGGGTGCAATCTGCACAGTGTGATTGATTAAGTGTACCAGGTCGAGGCGCGTTGAAAGCCAGCCCGACAATGTCGAAAGGCAGCAGAAACAAATCGTTGAAGTTACCGTTCGTTAATCTCGGCGATGTTCATCGCCGTGCAGCCTCGGCGCGCGCGCGACTTGGCGCACCGGCACTTGGACCAAAATACACGATCGTCCGTCTTTCGAGTCCGAGATTTTAAAGAGACTGCGTTGCACACTTTGACGTTACGCTTATACAAAACGGCATTTATTCTAATCCAACGCTGGGCCAGCCAACGTCGCGATTGACGCTAAATATGTACATATACTGGTCTGACCCTGGCTTTAATTTGTCCGCTGATTACCATCAGTCCGAGGTAAACTTCGGACAGTCGCACTTGAACGATAAGTGCGTATCCGCGTGGAGCAGCTGAAGCTAGAATCGTGTTGTAACATGAGACCTCGAACTTCGTAACCCCGCGCTCAATCATTTATATACCGTTCGATGTATGTACATATCTCCGCTTTACATATATATGTGTAAATATAAATATGTATATATTCGCAGAGGCGATAGCACGAGGCTACCATATCTCGTTTATGTCGCGACTACGAAATGCGTAATTATAATTGCAATCACATGACGTTTAACAACTTTATGCGTCATTCCGCGCATTCTTCGCCACGTTCACACGTGTCGATAAATTACTGCAATTAGTTAAAGGGGAGAAGAGGCGGTGAAATACTATTTCGTTTTCTTAAAATAGTTCATCGTAGATATTAACACGATATAATTCTTATGCACACAAGTTTGTTAGCCAAAGAGTTCTACCAATCATTCTATAGGTACAAGTTCATCGGTTTCATAAAAACGAACGTAATTTACAATTTATTGAAGCAGGAAAAAAGATGTGTTTGTGAAGTAGTACGAAGGGGGTCGTGGCATATTGCGAACGTCATAAAAGGCACTTTTATTTATAAAAAAATCACAAATTAATGATTTTTCATATACATACTAATTAGTGCCACAAAACAAGCAGGTTTTATAATCATTTTATAAAATATATTTTTACTTGCAAAAAGAATAATTTTTAAAATAATTTCTTTGGTTAAAAAAAGAATTTCTTTGTTACACCAACATAATCTTATTACGTGCGAGAAATGACGGAACTTTTCGAGACTTGCGATACTCGCGACGCTCGCAATACACACCTCCATAATCCTCTTTTGCACATAATGTAACTTTAAATGTTGGATTCATGCACACATTATGATTCACCCATTAAATTCAATTACATTATTTGAAAGTCACATTCAAGACCTTCAAGCTAGACTAAAGTTAAAAAATTAATACCTAAATATACTTTTCAAAATTACGTAAGGAGTATACACTGTAAAAATCTCTTCTATCTAAAACTGAAATTCAACTTTTATAAAATGGTATCTCACCCCCCCTCTCCCACATTTATCTCACGACCCCTCTCTCCTCTACATATGCGAAATTGAACACAAGATAAAACTAGAGAAGCTCGATACGATACAAATCTAACAGTGAACAAACTTAAAATTGGATCGTATGTGAAATTAAATCTAAAAGAGTAAACGTTAATTGAATGAGATTTGAGACTCTTATGTACGTGAGATGGAACTGATTCTTCTTAAGTCAAAATTTTAACTTTAGCTGAAACTTTCGATGCAATCAGAGTTTGAATCTATCGCAGACTGATAGCGAATTTGAGTGAACGCACTGGTGTGCACTCAATGCACATTAGTGCCGTTGTACATTGTTCTAATCTCAACGTAAAAGAGAATAAATATCTCGAATAAATAAAATGCCCACTACATATTTTACCAAACAATATAACAAAGTATAGATACCCATTAAGAATTTCGCTTTACGTCGATTTGCGTACAACGATTTTAGTGCGTCCAATCGAATTCGCTACGAGTCGATTCTTTCATTTGTCGCGAGGGAAAGCGCGACCGACGTACGGGTCTATTCTTCTACTCTATTCTTCGCGAATGGAATCATCCTTGGCGTGGGAGTATCACCGACAATTAATCGCCAGTGCATCGCGGATGCGTCGGTGCACCCGCACGCGCATCGGGCTGTTATGTAAACCGCGCGCCGTTTCACGCGCGCGGCTTCTCCGGCTTTATCCGAGTGATTTATCAAATGCTCGGAAGGACGTGCGGTGACAGGGTCGCGAACTTTTCGGCGATTATCTCGCCGGGGCTCGATATATCTCGATGAACCACTGGCCCACGGCGGTTTCCGCTTGAATCACCTACTCTCTCGCACTTTCCACATTTGGAAAGTGTATAAAGTGGCGAGTATTATATAGGTATAGATTTCCTTGCCGCCAGGAAGAGGCGAGAAGCGGAGCACCGAGAGAGTATAATCCGAAGTGAACGGAGCTGACGTGCTTTTTGTTCATCTGATTCTTCGGATGATCTATTATGGAGGATGTTTCATCTAATTTACTGCTTCTAAATTACATAAAAGCACGTAATCATATATAGCGATTACTCCAGTAGAATTGGCAGATATTCTGCAATATATACATATGATCCATTTAGGCGATTTCACAATATGCAAGTTTTTGTCAAATGAACGCATGTTGGAAACAACTTCCATTTATCGAGGTTTTAAGTTTACCTATTAGTCTCTATTCTTTTTATCTTGGCATATACTTGTACTGACAAACTGCTTTTTCATTTTCCATTACGGTGAGTGCTCGAGGAAAAAAACAGAAAAGAGGAGACGTAATAAAACTTAATGTCTCTTCGTATCAATCTTCGTAAACAATTCTCATGGATACTATAAGCACTGAAGACCGCGCGATGTACTTTCGGTTCATGTGCACTCAACGGCCCGCTGCTTCTATGCTACGTGACGTGAATTTGCGATATACGATGTTCTCAAGTTTCAACACGAGCCAGAATTATCCTCTCGACCAGTTCCAATATGTCGCAATTAAATTCTATGACAATGCTTTCTACCAATGTTTTCTACCAACGTGAATTTACCTTGTAAATTTTTTTATTTAATTTGCTTTTTATCTTCTTTTAGTTCTAAGAATTAGAAAGAAGCTAAAGAGTAAATTAAACCGAGATTAAAGTCAATCTCTACATTGGTAGAAGTAATGGACAAAATCGTCAAGGGCATCGAGAAGATCCCGAGATCGAGAACCCGAGGTCAGATTCTTCTCGGAAGTTAATCAAGCTTTTTTTTATTGAACTAAAAGAAATAACGAGATAGACGTGTAATCAAAGGCTGATTTAGCTGAAGAAAGATAAACACGAATGACTTTAAAAATATGGATTTTTTTCCATTTTAATTAGTATTGATTATCTTAACGTCAAGTATACAACGTTTGAAAATCTGCATTTGATATTGTTTTTTTAGTGCTCGTGCCAAGGCTGTAGTAAACGTTATATCTGTACTTCCCACTTCCGTGCACCTGTGCACCTGTGCCAATAGCTACCCGTTCACCCCGCGCGTTTGGCGGCGCAAACACGTTCGACAGCGCGTTCGGTGCGCTTGCACCGCGCTCCGTCCGGTGCATCCGCACCGTCCGCCACGAATTTCTCGTCAGCTGGACATATTCCATAATTAGCATAATTACAGTACCTCGTTATCTGCATTGAGAGAATGCCGCGTCACACGTAAACAATTCGTATCTCGATATGACGAGTTATGTTATACCTTATATATCTTATGTTATAACGTCTTGTATTACGCTTCTTGCCTCGCTGCCGTAATCGTCTTTTCATCGTTTACGCACGAGATTTGCCATAGTAGTCGACTAGTAGTAAGCGATAAACGACAATAGAAAACCGTGACGTACTGGCGCTTACAATTAGTCGTGTACATATACATACAGTAGTACACGACTTACTGCAGATGCGTACGACATGACGTGCGTGCGTGATCACGATGATCAGATGATTAGGGGACCGTGAAGTTACCTGAGGGAACGCGATCTAGTTCCGTTCGATGCGACAGTGCGTTTTCGAGAAAAATGTCGAGCCCAGGTATAGAAAATATCCAAACAGCACATTTTCCCGAGGGACATTTCCAGATTGCACAGAGAGTTCAAGAAGAACTCAGTCATATGTCATGAATTCTGATGGAATCTATTTTCAGATGCAAAAAGAAATTTTTTTCTAAAAATTCTGAAAAACAATTTTGTTTACATCTGAAAACTCAGAATTGATGACATACGATTGAATATACGAATGAATTTTTTTTTAACCGGACGTCCTTTGGATGTCTCTGGAAATGTGTATATACAGAATAAATAACGTCAATTCTTATATTAGTTGTTCAACTTATCTTATAAATGACAGGTCATAATAACGTTCTTATGACATCATATATGTATGACTTCATAATGATATCATTATGACTTCTCTGTGTTCTATCTGGGTGTACGCATATCTGAGCGGTCGTGATTCCTTTTTGCAAATCGCGGCGTACGGTGTGTTCGTGCGCGAGTCTCGTTCATCAAAATCCCAAACGAAACCGAATAAATTGTGCTCGTTTCGGAAACGAGCACTTAGCGGGCAAGAGTTGAAAAAAATTCAAGCCTCCACTATACGATGCTTTTCGTTACATCGATTACATAATGATTCTCCTCGCGGAGTTCGAGGGACCGCGTTTCGCATTCAAGAGAGAGAGAGAGAGAGAGAGAGAGAGAGAGAGAAAGAGAAAGAGAGCGTGATCCGTCACGCTCGCTCAATACAAATTATAGCGATAGATCGGAAGCTGTGGTATACGTCCTGTCATTGTCCTACCGTGGCCATTCTCACGCGCGCGTTGCCGTGCCGTGTCGCGGGATGTGAATCAGGATATCGTCGACCGTCGGTCGTGTCACGACCGACGACCGCGGCCGCGGCCGCGGCGCACGTCAGCGGCGCGCATCTGCATACTGTGGCATACGACATTGTACTAGGTAGTTACTGTAGTTAGTCACGGTATACACGTGCATACACCGCGCGGCGCGGAGTCGCGGCGGATTCGGTGCTAATCGCGAGCGCCGCGCGAATTCGCCCGCACGCACGCTCGCTCGCCTGGCTCGGGTCGGCTAGTTCGGCTACTGGCCAGTCAGTCGGTCGGTCAGGCAACAAAGCCAGCCGCGGACAGTGCCAGTCAACAATCGGACACGCGGCAGCGAGCACCGCCGAATGAAGGCGCGCGTCGACGGCCAACAAGCGACGGCGATGACGGCGACAGCAACGGTAACGACGACGACGGCGACGGCGACGACGACGACGGCGGCGACGACGACGACGGGGACGGCCGACGACGACGACGAGCGTCGGCGAGGATCGATCGCCGTCACGTGGGACCGCTGCAAGGAGCTGCTGCTCGACTTTCACTTCAATTCCGACCGGATATTCCACCGGTGAGTGCGTGCGGAAGTGCGGGACCTGCGTCTCCTTCTCTCCCGTCCACACCTCCCGCCCACCGTGTTCCACCCGCTCCTCGTCGCCGGAAGAGCCCGGATGCGCAATAGCGTACGCAACGAAGGGAGGAAAAGGGGTCGAGGGACGTGCCCCGCTCGATTCCATCGCTCTCGATTCCCGGTCGCTGCGGCGCACGGGAACGCGCTATTGTTTATATCACTCTCCATGCTCCGTCTAACGCTACTTGGCAGGCTCCGAATTTAGAAGTCCAAGTTTAGCCGTCTGCTTTCTGTTGTGTGTATATATGTATATATATATGTATATACTCTACGATTTCGTGACGCATTTCGCTCTCTTTCCCCGTCTTTCTTATCCGTTATTTATTACACGTTGGTGCGCCGTACCCACAATTCGACGAAATAAACACAACACGTACGGCGCAACCGCAAAAAAAAGGAGAAAAAACAGTTCTCGGAAATGGTCTCGGTCGGATATACACGATGACAACAGTGACATCAGGCCGTTTGCACTTCGTTGGACTTTTCGCGATTGAAACAAAACGGTCGGGCTGTCTAATAAATTTCCACGAGGAGAAAGGAGTAAAAGATTGAGTGCGGTGAGCGCGAGTAAATGAAAGCGAGCGAGATAGTAAACCTATAATATTCTACGTTTTCGCTGCACTGCATATTAAAATTTTCTTTTTCTCACTTTTGCCGAACTTCAAATACATATATCTGTTTCATTTTAAGGCTGTACATATATGTTTCAAATTGTTGCTTTCGGGAAAAATTTTACTAAAAAGCTGTAGTTTACGTTACGTATGCTACATTTTTAGTAAAGTTTTCCTCAAAAGCAATTAACGTTTTGAAATACTAGAGTGCACACTAATAGTTCAAAGAACAGACTTTGCAGCCTTTCCTCCTTTATATTTATTTATATGTTTACATACAGACATGATATTTGTAAGTGATAATTCGACTCAGTGAGACGACATCAAAAATAGAACTTTAAAAAAAAAAGAGCTAAGAGTCATTGCGAGATCGAAGGGTGACAAGAAGTTCGCAATTCATGAATAACGGATGACGTTCGGTCAGATGGGTTAACCAGATAAGTCTAAAATGTCTCATATAACAGATATAAGTCAGCTAGAACGTCTCATATATTACAGCTTCGCAGCTACAATGCCGGCAGAAAAAAAAGCTTAGATTTATGCAGCGTCAACACTTTTGCGATAGATTTGTTGTGCATCTTTTGTTTCTTTGTGAAATCTTGCCTCGCTTACGTCGTTTATGCATGTCATGCATATATGTATCTAGCGGCGTTCTCGAAAGAATGAAGAGAAAAAATTAATTCAGAGCGATGAACCGCGCGCGCAATGTGTATACTCGTACATTATGTCTACCATTTAGAACTAATCAAGCGAGTCAACACGACATGAAATACGTGAAATTAAATAAAGTACAAAGCCACACGTAATAAATATTACATCGCTATATCTATTCCCAATATTTACATTATCTTGTTATCGCGTGTCTAATATGATGGATCGACGGGGGAAGCAGACGCGTGCGGCCGCGAGATAGATTAGACTCGTCGAAGGGAGAGGCCTTCGGGAGGAATCGGGGGAGACCTTGAGGGAGTTCAAGGTAGCGCTGGTACTTTCTCGGAAGATCCTCTTCCGGAAGTCTTTGTTAATTAATCCCCTAATCTCTAATCCCCAGCGTGCATGTAAATACCCTCTCACTTATAAATAATTCAAATGCTTTTCGGTAGTTTGTCATCGATAATTAATTACGCCTCGTCACTGACGACGTACGGTTTTACGAATCTCGCGGTGTTGCGTTACGTGAATATCGGAAGTTTATACATGAGCAGAGCTATTTCGATACGCGCGAAAATACGTGGCGAGACGATGAAGGAAAACACGATCTTTTAATTTCTCCCAGAGGAAAATCTCCTACGATCGGGCGCATAATTGTGCACTATTATCATAAGTAAACACAAACATTGCGAAAGATAGCTCCTCGTGATAAGCGTGCGCGGCTACCGCGCTTACTCTCCGTCGATTCGCCGTAAACGGAGAAAGAAATAATAAAGGTGTGCGACAGCAGGGATGATGCTCCCGTTAATTGTAGTACGAGAATGCATATTAATGTTTGCATTTTAATACGCACGGTGTATGTTTATTTCGTAAAGTCATACGCTATCTCTCACGAATACTATTGGCTCCGTTATCGCTATAGCCAGACGTACGCGATCCCAAAATTCTTATCCTTATCGTCATTATCGATCTGCTATTCGGAGGAAGTTGGAAAAAACAATGAAGAGATCCGGGTCCAAGTATTTGTCGAAGTATTTGTTTTTAAAGAAATGGTCATATTTTTTTATACAATTCACGATAATTCTTATCACGTAATCTCGATACGACAGATTTGACGTTATGCTATTTAAAAAGAGAAATTCTTTCGATTTGATACTGCACCTGCACCTGTGTATACATATTTACGATTAGACGGGATTGCCGAGACTTGCTCATCATCCGCGTCACAAGTCTACGCTCGTAAGTCTATTTCTCAAGTCACATGCTTCGCGATAATCAGTACCAAATGGAAGAAATAGATGACGAGATAAGTCGCGTACTAGCTGAGTTAGCGCGGGTTTCAGTCAATTTTCGCGATCGCAATGTCGCAGCGGGATCGCACGATTCATATTGTTCATTATAAGCAATCGAGCTAAATCCACGGGAATGTGATACGGAAATAAATTGTTGTTTGTTCGCAATTTGTCTAGTAAAAAATACGATTTCAGCAAATTCTTTAGAAATCTCTTAGGAATTTTTGGAGTTTATAGGGAGCTAACGTTATCAAAAATCTCAAATTTCTAGTAGAAGCAGTGCACCGAGCACTAATTATAAGATACTAAAATCACATGTATCAGAATTATATTACGATTTAAATTTTATTTATATAAATCCTACACTTTTTTAATTTTTAAATAGCTTTATTGAAAATGTACCGCAGTAATCATTGCTCTCGTAATCATCCTCAATATAATATATGTATATAACTTCATTAATAAACCATCAATAATATTTGTTCAAGTGTCTTTTGCTTTTATTTCTTCGCGCATTTTCTTCATCTTTTTACAGCATGTTTCATGAAAACCATCAATTTTTAATATGCATTATATATTAGATAATTTCTTGAAATTTTGTTGCGTGTTCTTAAAAATGTTTGTAAACTGTATCTGCTGAGAATGTCGAAGATCTCATTTATAAAGCAGTGCAAAACAATCTAAAGAGCTTTATTCATTCGTATGACAGTGCATATCTGCTCCTCATCTCTAATTAACGATTAATTGATAGCTTAATTGACCTAGATGATAGCGGGCTAGTAAAGAAGAAGTTAGGTTTTATGGCAACCGCGGGAATACTATCTAATTATACGTGCAATTCTGAAGTCACCTTGAATGCATCTTGAATGCATGAAGCAAAACTCGGTTTCAAGTTTTTTTTTATCAGTATCGAACAACATACATATATTGCAACGTGTGACAAATTAAGAAGAGAAATAAAATCAACAAAGTTATGAAAGTTAACGATGAAAGCAAACATTTTGTTTCCAGTAGAAATTTAAAAAAAATTAAAAAAGGAGAAATATCGATTAAAATTAGATTACGTAAGATCAGAAATTCCGATGTGATGTCCGTGCTTTGGCATCTTACATAATTCGAAGATCATTGGCCCCGACGTTAGGTTTATTGGTTACCATTGTCTGACGATCATATTGATCGTGGATTGAATTTATGTGATTTAATGCCCGCCGGCTGTCGTTGGGTTCAAGTTTATAATAGCATTTTCGAATACGAAGTAAGCTTGACGCTCCGACAATAGAGAGAGAATTTAATTTTATTTAAATATTTACTCTTTCTTGTATTACAAATACGCGCACACATATTTGTAATTTTAACGATTATTCGACGTTATACTATTCATTTTCAATTTAAATTGTCTTCCATTTCCTTTACTTTCGTGTATCTTTCAGGATCGGATTTAGCATAGCCACAAAACCGTGGCTCTGGCTAATAATTTCCCTGTGCCTAAATCTCATCTGTGGTCTCGGACTGTTACTCTGGAGGGAGGAGATTGACGAAGTAGAACTCTATATGCCAATTAATTCTGTGTTCCGTAAGGATGCCGCGTGGGTGAAGGAGCACTTCCGAGACGATCTCAGACACGAAAGTGTCATCGTCACTGCCCCCAACGTGCTGGATCCCGAAGTGCTGCGATCGGTACATAGGCGATCATGAATTATACGAGTATCAGCGAAGGTTCTTTTCCACATTAATGCACATCTCTTTCCGATAGTTAAATTAATTGTCGTCACATTCGTTCGAAACTGAATGAAATTGCCTTATTACATTTTAATGAAAAAAATCTGTAAGTTAAAAATCAATCAACGATCATTGATCATCAGATCGGTATATTCGCGTGGATTTTTTTTCTTTTAATTTGAACTATATGCACATTTAAAGATAAAATCTTTAAGATAAAAATCAATCAACGATCATTGATCATCAGATCGGTATATTCGCGTGAATTTTCTTCTTTTAAATTAAACTATCTGCACATTGGATTAAAAAGATCTTTCTAATTAATATTAATTACGCATGATGATCAATTTTGTATAATATTCATTTAATTAAGGAATGCATCACGAATCATTTTTAATTGCATTATAATGTTTGTATATTTAATTGTAGATCAGAGATATTGAAAGAGATGTGAAGAATATAGTGGTAAATAATAATACTTGGGAAGATGTGTGCGCTGGGTAAATATTTTCTTTATATAAAAATATAATTATTTTCATGAATGAGAAGTCGCTTATTTATTGGTTACGCCATCGTTACTTTTATTTTCTTAATACAATGACGATTTGATAATGACATTACAACTTTCATAATGATAACACCAGAATTGAAATAGTCACTTTGGACAATTTGTTACTAATGAGTTAAAGTAACGACTTTTTCAATGAGCAACGCGTAATGACAATAAGTTACTTATTCAAAAATGAACTATTCTCATTGTGACCTTATCATTACCGTTACGGAAAAATTGTAATGTTATATTACCAAATCGTTATTATAAAAAAGTAACGACGTTACTTATAACTCGTTAATTCCCATTCCTGATTATATAAATTTATATATAAAATATTTGTATTACAGATATTTTGCATGGTTCCAAGAAGATGATAAATGGGAAACTATGGATAAATCTGAGTTTCCCGAAGAATATCTGCCTATTATAAACAGTACAATGACGAAGGAACCCTGTATTCATAAATCCCTTTTGAAGATATGGCATAAGAACGGTAGGAACATCGATAAATTGACAAAGACTAGAATACTGAAGGATGTTACTGCGACTCTGCAAAATAAGTGAGTTGCTCGAATTTTCAGAGCAAAATTAATGAAATTAAATTATTCAAACTCTCGAGTAAAATATAAAATACAGATTACAGCTTTTTGCGTATGTAAACTGACACGCGTCTTTATTTCTGTATGAAGCACTTTTATCTTTTTCGAGAATTTAGTTTCGTGCAGATATATTTCTTTAACGTCGAATTCAATTAACGATTCAATTATACTTGTGCTTACTTTAGTTTTTATTTTTTTCTTTTACTAAATTTCGATGAAATACACGCATTGCCAATATAATGGTTTTATGTTCCTTTTGGCATATGTTTCTTTGTTCTGTTTTCATATGTTAATTTGCTCTATGCAGGAATAAAAAAGACATATTATCCGACATCAAGCCGCTACTGGGCGGCGTCGAATATGACCTGAACGGGAGAGTAAAGGGTGCGAACGCGACAATTTTATTTTGGTTGCTGAAGAAGACCAATCCGCAGTCACCGGAATGGGAGATCGAGTTCATCGAGAGGGTACTGCAGTCGAATCGTACCCTGCCGCCGGGCATGAAACTCTACGCAATAACGAAACGTAGCTACCAAGACATGCTGCACGAGGTGGTCAACAGTAACATGACTGTATTGTTCTGCGGCATGTCGCTGATCACAATCTATGTGATCGTGATGATCAGTCGGTGCAACGCGATGCAGCAACGGATATACCTATCCCTCATGGGTATCTTCGTGGTCGGCCAGGCTATCTTGTCGTGTTACGGGCTGTGCTATTACATGGGATTTTTCTACGGCCCGGTTCATCCGATCCTGCCGTTTCTACTACTTGGTATCGGCGTCGACGATATGTTCATCATCATGCAAAGCCTTGAAAATACATACGAGACGGACAAGTCCTTAGACATTCCTACTCGTATAGCAAAGTCCATTCAAGTCTCAGGTACGATGAAGTCTTAAACAAGTTTGACGTCAAAGGCAAATAAGAAACAGATTATGCTATGTTTATCGTCTATAAATGCATTTTGAATATATTTCGGAAATATCGACAATATGTAGACGGATTAAAAATAAGAAAAATTCAATACGATTGTGACAAATGTACCATGATAGAATCGCCGAAAAAAGCTTTTGAGACAATCTGTATATCTATTTAACTAAAATTTTAATTTAATATTTTGTTTACCTAGGGATGTCCATCACCGTGACATCGTTCACCAACATGGTGGCCTTCGCCATCGGCATGACGACGGTGATGCCGTTCCTGAGGTCCTTTTGCATATTCGCCGCAATGGGTATACTATTCCTCTATATTTACGAGATCACGTTCTTCGTCAGCTGTCTGGTATACGACGAGAGACGATTGGCGGCGAAGAGGGAGGGCTGCTGCTGCCAGCCGCAGCCCAATTGGCGATCGAACAAGTGCAGCAAGCAAAACTTTCAACGGTTCGTTTTCGAGAAATACGTCGGGCCCTGCGTGATGAGAACGTCGATGAAGACGATCATCCTGTTAGCCACCGCTATCTTGCTGGGCGTTAACGTGTGGGCGATATTTCAATTGGAACAGAACTTCGATCCGCTCGTCTATTTGAATCAGGAGTCCTACCCTATACAGTTCAACAACGAACTGATGAAAAACTTTCCAAAGTACGGCAAGCATGTCAATATATACCTGACGGGCGTGGACTATTATGAGGATCGCCATGCGCTATCCCAGCTGGTAGACAATCTGAAGCAAAATCCGTACGTCAACAATCGTACTTTGGACCCGTGGTTCACCGCGTATCAGGAGTGGCTGGACACTACTGGCAAAAGTAATATGATTTTTCATATGGCATATATATGTATATCTTTTAAATATATAGTGTTTACTAATATAGGATTATATATATTTTTTTTTTTCGGCAGTACATTACGTCGAGGATAAAGAGGAGTATTATAACATACTCACGGAATTTCTGCTATTCACGGTGAAGGGCCAAGCGTACATCCAGAATATGAAATTCAATAAATTGCCGTTTAACGACTACAATATTACGGTACGTCAAGGAAAACGATACATTTTATAATATACAAATGCGAAACGTTCTCTGACTGAGAAATGCTTTCAGACGTCGCAAATTACAGTGCAACACATTCCCATAAGTACATCGGCCGATCAAATACGAGCTATGCAATCCATCAGAGACGCCGTGCAATCAGTGAACTTCACTCAGGGATACGATCACGTCGCACTTTATTCGCTCGATTATATAGCATGGGCATCGAACAAAGTGAGGTCTTTTTTTAAGAATTTTTCACATATATTTAACCGATTGATAAATGTATTAATCGGTTTATAATCGATTTCACAGATCATTGGCGAAGAATTGATCAGGAACTTGAGTTTAGAGATACTGGCGGTAGGAATAGTGACACTGGTCCTACTTAGGAATTTACTCGCGTCGTTTTGGGTGATGTGCTGCGTGCTGTTCACGCTCATCGATCTTCTAGGCTCAATGTACTTTCTAGGATTGACTGTCGAAATATCGTCGACTATTATGATCCTGTTATGCGCCGGATTGGCAGTTGATTATGCCGCGCACATTGGACTGGAATTTATACGCTCAAGCGGCAGTAAAAAAGGTCTCTAACAAATAATATTGCATTTTTTATTTTTTGTTTAGTATCAAATAAGAGCATCGAATGATCCAATAGAATTTATCAATATTTATAGACTACAATTAACTAACAAGTTTTTTATGTATTCAAATTAATTAGATTATTATTAGAAATTTACTTTAACGAATTAATATTTAAATTATTAAATAATACAGTTTGAATGAAATTGCAAATTATATATAATAAAAATTATATATATATCTTGATAATTCTTAAGACTCTATAATGCTTCAATAATGCATAGAACATTGTTAACTTTTCATCTTATTACGCTTGCAGAACGAGCACTAACGACGTTTAACATTATCGGACCGGCAGTGTTTAATGGTGGCTTGAGTACATTCCTTGCCTTTATCCTGTTAGGTTTCAGTCAGGCTTACGTTTTCATAGCTTTTTTCAAGGTATGGATAACAACATCAAAAGTACAATCGTTATAAAAACCAAAAAAAAAAAAAAACGGAACCGTTACATATTTCATATCGTTTTAGCTGATCACGTCCGTAGTGGTGTTTGGTTTGTTTCACGGATTACTATTTCTACCTGTGATATTGAGCTTGGCGGGACCCAGTGAGAGAAGGCAACACAGCCTAGAAAAGAGTCAAGCTATGCAATATCACAACGGTTATTTTACCGTCCATCTGTCCCAAAATGGGAAAGGTGCAGTACCTTTGAAGTATCAATGTGCAGTCAAACAAAATGCAATTTTTTTAACAAAAACGAATTCACGCCTTTTTATTTTTCCTTTGCAGATACAGAAGACGCAATTGCTAAATGACGTTTAGCAATGCTTCAAAAGGCTGCTTAGGTAAAAATATTTTTGTAGATAATTGTAGCGCACTGGAATTCGTACGATTGTGGAGTACGAATGTGCGCATATTATGTCACGACGTTATACGTCTCTTTCTTCTCTCACATGTCTTTCCATTCTTTTATACATATACATTGAATAAAACCGCTAAATAAAAATATCTTTCATACAAAAGGAACTACACGAAATTATTTGCCTCGCCTGTTCGTGACCACTGTCCATCCATCTTTCTCCTGCTCATCCCTATCGATGTCCATATCCTCGTCCAAGCTGCTAGACTCGTGTTTAACTGGCAGAGAAGAATGAGCAGGCTGAGCGGGTAGCTTCGAATTCAACCACGACTGCAATGGTGGTAATTTTTCAAATTCCGTTTTTGCCACAGACTCGTTGCTTTCCTTGCAATACCGATAAAATCTCAATAACTCCTCCGCTACTTGCACACTGCTGTCGTCCTGCACTTCTGTGCTAAACTGATCGTCCATGTAATCGTCTAGTTCATCGGCAATCTGACTGCTGGCCAGTTCGTCTAGAAAAACAACAAAATTAAATTAATATAATTCCATACAACGTTACTGTACTAATATTAATGCTTCAAAAAAACAGCGACAGTAACCATTCATATACAGCACATCCGTTATATATGAACAAAATTCCCTTGCGCTTTCTACTGAACCCATGTTGTGCTCCACCGCCAACTGAAAATGAATATAAAGTTTGATTACTCAAAGTAATAATTTTTTTCAATTTGACAATAATATATATTCTTACGTTTAAATTAGATAATAGCAACTATTTGTTTTTACTGTGTACTTCGTTTCATATAAAAATATAAAGCATTTTAAGACCTGATGAAAAGAAAAAAAGGAAAGAAATACTTATGTCAACATTTTAAACAAGAGAGCGTCTGATTTTGAGAATTTAACACGAGATTAAGGATCGTGAGAGAGCTTACTTTTAGTGCGGTCCAATTACTGAATATACGTTGTGTGACTGTTAGAAAAAATGGCTTAGTGCGCTCGGTGTGCTCCATGATCCAAGTATTTGCGTCACGAGTACGCTCCATTTTTAGGTTATAAATCTTCTCTCACTTAATGTAGCGATTTGCCCGTGACCGACGCGACCAGTAGAACATCCAATTAGTCGGATTTATGATCAGAATACATTTATGTGTTAGCACAAGAATTAATTTTGTCAATAACTCTCAAATACTTTTTTGTCCGCACTCAGCGAATGCGATGCACCAGTGAATTGAGGTTATAACTTCTTTAAATAATTAAATATCCCGTCCCGGGACAAATTAACCTCCAACTACGATCTCTACTCCAACTCCAATAACATGTGACTCCGACCAGTCCGACCAAATGATTAGACGCTCTCTAGATTGACGTACTAGGGACAGTAACCTATCGGGTCTTTTAAATTCCCCACCACTTCACTCCCAGATGTATACATCTGATTGAACACGTAGCCTGCACGGATTGGCTGTCGAGAAGGCCCACGGCGTTTCCTCAAGGTATATCCCTAACCTTCGGCCAATTGGAGCCCCGCGAGATGACACACCACGTGAATTGCTATTGCCGTCTCTTATTTTTTTTTATCCATCCGCTGTGAGTCGCGCAGGGGTTAATCCCTTCCACCGTGGTTGGGACTCTCCCGCGGTTCGGTGCGAAGTGTCTTTTGTCAAACGTGATGATGAAATCAAACGAAGAACAGTTGCCATTAATCGGTGCGAGTGTGATATTGTTGATGCTAATTGCTTCCTGAGTTTGCCGTTATCGAGTTTCCCGTGTAACGATCGTGCGTCGCGCGATAAAAGTCACGGTAAGAATCTCCAAGGGACTGAGAGAAAAATTTTGAAAAGCTCGCGGAATTTCGATCGTTTAGCCAGGTCAATTTGCCGGCGATTCCGCGGATTCCGCCTGCGGTCAAGTCCAATTCTCGCCTGACAGGGGCGACGAGTACCTCGCTATATTCAAACTCAAGTGCGAATTATTTATCTCATTTATTTTATATAATTAATACTCAGGTAAATTTACATTTGCGATGGTCTGTAACGCAAATAAAATATGTTTGTCGCATATATTTTCCGCCTTGAAACAATAGATCTTTGTTTCAATTGTTACGTGTTAGTATTATTATTATTATTTTTTAAAGAAACTTTTACAAGTGTCATAGCAGGCTGAAAATTCGATGCACAAAAACGCGATATCGCATTACTGCTTCAAATGAACGTGATGGACTAGATGATCGAACGATCCATTGTTTGGTTAAGAGGCATAACAGACCGTTGTTCAGTCTTTCAAACGTCATCAAATATTATCGACTGTCCAAATATATTACCAAATTTGAACGTGTTGCCTGCTTCTAGCTATTCTATAAAACCAGAGAGATTGATCGTAATTGATACAAGTACGATGGAGCCGAAATTCACGCCGGAAAACGAGTCGTTTACTCCGAGAGCATATCAGATAGACCTCTATGAAAGGGCAGTGCGAGAGAACGTGATACTTTATTTGCCGACAGGCGCGGGCAAAACATACATAGCCGTTATGCTTTTGAAACATCTGAGCCGTGATCTACTCAAGTATGTAGCCATTCATGGAAATGTTTCTCTTTCTCATTTGACCTGACTGAGGAGGGTCCTTCCTCCGTCATAATACACATGTATTGACATATCGACATACTTGTGTGTGTTGACATTACAATGACTTTGAAAATTTCTTTTACATTCAGGCCTTACGGAGAAGGTGGAAAACGTAGTATATTTATTGTAAACACCGTGGCATTGGTAGACCAACAGTCGACATACATAAGAAGGCACACTAAAGGCCTAAATTGTGGAGGTTACAGTGGAGATATGAAAGTGGATTTTTGGAGTGAACAAAAATGGTTGGCCGAAATCGAGAAAAATCAAGTATTGATATTTGGAGTATATTGTTAACTCTTTAATTTTGTTCTGAAATAAATTAATGGGCTACAATGATTCTGCATCTCTCACACAGGTTTTAGTAATGACGTCACAAATCTTCCTGAATCTGCTTGTCCATAGATATATAGCGTTAAGCAGTGTCAACTTAATCATATTTGATGAATGTCACAGAGCTGTGTCTAACCATCCGATGAGACAAATTATGCAGCAATTTTATTTCTCTCAGGAGGATCATCCACGTATTTTAGCTATGTCAGCAACTTTATTAAACTCTAATATTAAAGCAGAAAAAATTGAATCTACAGTTAGGGTAAAGAATCGTAGTTTCTTATTTTCTCACTAAACGGAAGTAGATTGAAATTTCAAATTGTGGATTAAAATGAATTGAAATAAATTGGTCTTTGTAGAAATGAATGCATTTCTACAAAGGCCAATCCATTTCAATTAAAAAAATATATATATTTTAATCCATTTTCGTTTACTGGGTTGTTATTAATAATCTTCAGTTGACTTTTGGGCATGTAAAAAATTATTCGTATCCTTTACAGGAATTAGAAGTAACATTTCATGCGAAGGTAACAACTGTAGAGTCGTCAGATTGTATTCAACAATATTGCACAAACCCAAAAGAGGATATCGTCAAGTATACGAAATATTCAGCTCCAGAAGTCATGAAAACGATAACTCATATTATAGAAGCGAGTCTAGAGATTCTAAAAAATGTGAAGCTTAATTTTGATGAAATATATAATGAATCGAGTCCGGAAATGCGGCCTAAAACAAAATCTTCCAAGCTAACTACTATTATGACAAACATAAAAACGACCACATTACAAGCAGGTAATTGATATCCTATACACGCACAGATCGGAATGTACAACAGTAAATCCCAATACATTTCTGATCCTTATGTTCATTGCTGAATTTAATAAACATTCAACATATAGGATATCACTTTTGTTGCAGGCTTATACGGCGGAAATATATCCGCTTTATTACATTTAATCCAGTTAGAGAGTTTAAGGAAATACTCCGATGACCAAGTACGAATCGATTGAAATTATAATTAAAATATTTTTGTTAGTACTTCACAATCTTTACTCTTAATTTTAATGACATACTTATTGATTCTGTTTTAGATGATGGACGCTCTTCTGGATTATCTTATTACGCAAGTAATGTTAACAAGGAAAATATTCGATAATGAGATGAAAGAATGCAGCGAATTAGAACGATTATACAAGTATTAAATTTATAAAGTATTATAAAGTATAAAGATTATAAAGTATTAAAAAGTTAATGATTATGCAAATTATAACTATATTGGTTACAATACTATATTGAGCAATAATATAATTTCAGCTTTTCATCTGACCAAATCCGTAAATTATTCGAGATATTGCTACAATATAATAATAAATTAAGCCAACAAAAGTTTTGCTGCATTATTTTTGTCAGGGAAAGATTTATGACGCAAGTGATATATCATATATTAAAAGTAAGTTTTTCTTTATGTGCTTGATTTCAGTATTAATTAATTAGCAATAGTATAAATTAATGATTGCTTTTAAAAACGTTTTTCATCCTTACGATAAATTATATTAATAATAATTAAAATTAAATATAAATTCCATTATTTAATAAACTCAAAAAAAAATATTAATTTTTATATTTCATGTTTAAAATCTATATTATCTTTATTATTTTTAGACATTATCTACACAAGATAAACAATATAGTTTCCTCTTGCCCGATTATGTACTTGGATTTCAGAATAATCCTTACAAAAACAGTAAAGAAGTTTCATGTATTGCAAACTGGAATAAAAAAGTGTTGCACAGGTAAAATATTCCATTTCTTTTGCGTATTATTTTTCTAGAGAATCTGTATAAGTCGATAAATTTCGTGTAAATTATAAATGATTTTTTACACTCGCGTGTAATTTTTTGTATAATTTTTACATATATACGCTCATTGGAATGATATTGGAACAACATTTATGATTTGAACATTTTAGTCAATTAATGCAAATTATTCCTTATTTTATATAACTTGCAAACATTAGATGTAAAAAATATTTTTTATTTTAGTTTTTATTAATAAGTAAAAAAAAAGAAAAGAAAATATTTTTCTATTGGCTTGATATAATTAAGTGATAAAAAATATGCATTGTTGCAGATTTAAAAATGGTTCGGCAAATTGCGTCGTTGCAACCGATGTTGTTGACGAAGGTATCGATGTACCAAGTTGCACATTGATAATACGGTATGATATGCCAACGGATTTTAGAGGGTACGTTCAAAGTAAAGGCCGGGCACGCCACAGCTCAAGTAGTTATATAATATTAATGCCGATTGAGGATGATTATGATTTTTTGAAAAAATATTTTCAATATAAGTGTACAGAGACGCAGTTGAAGAAGGTAAGCAGTTTCAGTATGATAAATAATATATAGGGCTATTGCTGATGAAAAAATCATCGTACGATCATAAGATCAAAAATTCTTTTCTAATTCTGTATAAATATTTCTTGTCTGTGGAAATATTTAGATAGGTACTTATATTATCAGCTAATTTAAAATAATATGTTGCGTGCAAAGAAATATGCAAAGAAATTACGTGAGTCAATTATTTTAAGATGATAAAGAGGTAATAATAATATTCTTGCAGATGTTGCAAAACTGTTGCGATAAAAATTGATAACTAAGAGAAAAGTGTTTTTTGCATCTATGATCACAAGATCTTTTTATTCTCAAGCTAATTACATTATTCCGTTGAAGTTTGATGATTTATTTTGGCAATATACTAATACTCCTCAATATGTACGTCAATTTCTATATTTAAGTTCCGAACGCCATTCTTCTAACATACCTATCACGGGTCTCTGTCTCTCGTTCCCCGTATATCATTCCGCAAAATTCAAAGTTTTCTTCTATGCCGCCGTCAAGTATTATAACACGCTTCGTCCATCCGATCCTCTTCTTCCTTATCCTCCTCTCGCGTCGCGACTACTAAGCTTAACTCGTCTAACGACAATCAAACATTCTCGCTCGTCGCTCTACGTATGATGATATTTGCTCCGCTTCATGTGTCGGTTCTTTTGTCCGCATTTTGGCTCTTGGCAAATCCGTTCAGGGCGAATTATCGTATTATGTGTAACATAGCCATGCGTACTCGCGCATTTTATCCGTATGTTATACTCGCGAAATTATGTTATACCACGAAATTTAACTATCTTTTTTCCATCGTGAATCATCAGTAGTCTCATGCGCACATATCATAAATTTTAAGTTTTTCAGTATTTCATTCAACCAATTGCTTGTCTCATGTAATTGTCTTTGCGTTCATCTATCTCTGTTCTATCTCGTACCATGTCACACTGTATGTTGCTGGTGCTTTATCTTTTGTGTTTCTACATACTGTAAATTTACATGTACATGAACTTTTCATAGTTACGCAATAAATTGAATTAAATTAAATATAATATTCGATAAAGAAAAAAAAATATATATATATATATTGTGCAGTAATATAATAAACAGCTTGGACTAAATAAAACGATAAAGCACATTAAAATGTAATAATCACGCGAAACTAATTGAAACAAGAAAAAATCAACGAGTTATATCTTTATTTAGATTTTGATAGGACAAAGCGAGCAGCGCACAGTGCCTACCGAAAACGACATTGTAAACGGTCTATATAAAGATTTTGAGATTGCACCGTACGTAGTGAAACGTGATGGTACTGTGGAAAGTATCCTAACAGAGCTGGCCGCGATTAGCTTGATAAATATGTATTGCGCTGCTTTGTTGACATCGAAATTTGTTGGTCTGGTTCCGGTTTGGAAGTTATATAGAAGTTATATAGACAATGAGGAGCAATTTAGGGTATTACACTTATTCTTTACTATTTAGTAGCTCTCTCATAATTTATAAATTTAGTATTTATCTATTGTCTAATCACGGCAGATTTCTCTCAAATTACCAAACTTATCGCCACTAAAAACCGAAGTTTATGGCGATTTTATGAAGAGTATAGATAGCGCTAAACGATCTGCTGCTATGAACAGTTGTATAAAATTGCTTGAGCTGGGTGTATTGACCAACAAGCTGTTACCTGCAACTGACGAGGAACTCACGCAAAATTTGGATTTCTTGTTCCCAAATTGGATAGATGAAGACAATTATCGATCTGCAACATATAAAAGAAAGCGAGAACACCAGCTAGAAGTAAGTATACATTCTATGTATGTTAAATGAGTTTTTATTTGTAATATTTTATATTTTATATATATATATATATATAAATTTTATTAACATATATAAATACAGTTACTAAAATTTATAAAAATGTTTTTACAGTATCCATTAGCGTTTTATGGTGCATATCCGCAACCTTCACAGCCATTATATCTTCATGTTTTTAATTGTACTTCCACGTTTTCTGTGGCGGACAACAACAGACGCAAAGTTTTTTATGATTTGCTTAATGACAAGAGTGGTTTTGGTATTCTTTCAACAAAAAAATTGCCAAAGGTAGAAATATTTACTAATATTTTGCAAAATTTGTTTAAATTGCTAATCACGTTAATACCATTTTTATTCATTTATTTGTTAGATACCTTCATTTCCGATTTTCATGAAAGACGGTAAATTAAATGTCGATGTAAAATCGGATCACGCAACGGTGATATTGAGCGAAAGTGACATCGAATTGCTTAAGAGGTTCCATTTCTTATTGTTCAATGAAATTATACCTGTTATTAAAAGTTTTATGATTTTCGATAACGACAATCTTGAAAATTCCTTCTTAATTGTCCCATGTAAGTATGATCACATAATACTCGTAATATAGTCTCGCGTTATTGTATCTTATGTAAATTTATTTTTTGTAGTTCCATGTTCAACGTATATTAATAAAAAGTTTTTATTTTTGTGCTTCAGTGAACGATAAGCAGGAGATAAATTGGAACGCTGTTAAAACATATGAACATTTGGAACGAATTGAGCCGTGCAAGCCCTTTGTCTTTAGGACCGGCGATTATGAATTAGCACTTGTTACTCCAACTTACAGAGGATCAGCGGTCTATGTAGTCACAAAGGTGTGCGACGAACTCACACCCGAATCGTGGTTTCCTAATGAAGATTTCGAGACATACGCACATTATTATCAAGAAAAACACGGACTGATTGTAGAAAATCTTGACCAGAATATGTTGGAGGTGAAACCAATACCGGTCAAATATAACTACATAAAACCGAGGTGCGTCATACAATCGCGTTGTGGTTATCTGCATAATTGACTGATTCATGTAATTTTGCAGAAAATTGCCTGAAGGCCCGATGAAATATAAGAAAACGGACGACACAGTGGAAGATCTTCAAGAACATCTAGTTCCAGAACTGTGTTTGAAGATAAATTTCCCGGCTGTGTACTGGCTAAAAGCGACCACGTTGCCTTCTATTCTTCATAGAATTTGTCAATTCTTAATCGCCGAGGATTTGAGAGTAACTATTGCAAGAGAGACTGAATTAGGATCGTTAACGTTAGAAGAATTAGCTCCTTTAAAATTAGAAGAGAATATCGAGAAATTGAATGAAGAGGATTATAGTAATGGACTGGAATTGACAGACGACTTAATTGAAAAAACGCAATCGGATGAAATCGGACCGTATTCAGATTCAAATATGTTCGATTTAGGTGCGTATCCATTACGTATTCATATATATATATATATGTATATATATATATATATATATTATATCTATTATGTAAATTGAAAAAAAGGATTTATAATATTATCATGACTTGCTTCACCTATTCATAATATTTATGTTTCTATGGGACTTGTTTTCAACTCGCGATGCCGGCTATAAAAACAGACTGTAATCCCTTCTTGAAGGACCAGGAACCACGGGATTTGTATCGTAACATGGACGAAATTCAAATGATCGATATTCAATATTACAATCAATTTATGTCAGCATCTGATCAAAATGAGAGCGACATGGTAAGCAGAATATAGCAACTATGCTAATATAGCACGTAGCAATACGTGTCACGTGTGATTATATGTCTTTAAAATGATCACGTTTATGTTGATGTTATAGACAAAAGAGAATAGTAGTGTCGGTAACTACATTCAAAGGTCAGCAATGTCAACACCATTTTTGAAGATTCTTCAAGATTCGTCTGATGAGCAAGGTTCCTCTTTTTCACAAGGCCCTGATTCAGCAGAAATTATGCATGTAAGTGGAAACTCTTATTTCTCATTTGTTACACGCTATAAATAATAATTACACATATATAAGGAGCTGCAAGGTTTCGTTTCATTTCAGGCGCTGACCACTAAACTAGGCTCAGATCTGTTCAACCTGGAGCGGTTGGAAACTTTAGGCGACTCCTACCTAAAATTCTTCGTATCGCTATTTTTGTATCACAAATTCCCGTTGTTCAGCGAGGGTCAATTGACAACGTTAAAGGGAAAGATCATTGGCAACCGGAATCTCTATTATTGCGGCAAGGAAAAGGGTATCCCCGGACGTATAAAGAACGATGCGTTTGTGCCGACGAGCAATTTCATCCCGCCCGCGTTCACAGTGTTCCGCCGCATGCAAAAGTCATTGCTACAACAGTCGGTAATGCCAAATGTATTGTACGAATTTCTAATCCCGGAACAGGAGAAATTCACCGGATACATGAGTGAAGATACGATAAGTGTGATGGAGGATGCAGTGGCAAACTGGGACAAGGGGGATAAACAAACTGGCGTCGAACATTATCTCGGCGTGCAAATCTTGTCCGATAAAACCGTGGCGGATTCAGTGGAAGCGCTTATTGGCGTTTATCTCAGGGTAAGTTTTGCAACTGTAACACTCTACCATTATCTTAATTTCAGACATTAATATGAGAATGTGTTTAATATAACTAATTGGCATTGTGTTAAGTATTACGACACTAAAAAATATCTTTTTGCATTCACATTATAGAGTAACGGTATAAAAGGCGCTACAAAGTTACTCAAGTGGTTCGGTATACTGCCTGACATCGATATTGACGACTTACTGAACAATTCACAAGATCCTATAGTGGGAAACGGCAATCCTAATCACCACATGCCGTGGGCTGATGCTATGGAAACTACCTTCGGCTATAAATTTAAGAATCGAGCGTTTTTATTACAGGTAATAATCTGTTGAAAAAAATTACAGCGCAAATATATTGTATACCTATATATATATATATTCAATCATCCATGCGTTTTACAGTTTAGCTTATACACATCTTCGTGTATATATATATATACACATATATATTTACAGTATATAATACAAAATCAAAACTATCTAAATTATTGTTTTAGGCGTTCACACATCCATCTTACACAGCGAATGGAATAACTGAGTGTTACCAAAGATTAGAATTTCTCGGAGATGCCATTCTTGGTGAGTATAAAACGTTCGCATGTACATATACCACAATAGAATTATAATACAATATCGTATATGAATATAATAATATGTAGAATAGAAGAGGTATTTATATTTCTCTTAATTTCTGTAAAATAAATCATAACAATGCATTTGTATCTTTTAATGATTTCAGATTTTCTGATAACGTGTTATATTTACGAAAATTGTGGAAATTTAAGTCCTGGCGATCTCACCGATCTGCGATCTGCGCTTGTCAACAACGTAACATTCGCTTGTTTGACGGTACGGTATGGTTTGCATACCGCTTTATTGGCCTATGCTCCAAAATTGCACGAAATAATCGATCGCTTTGTAAAGTTCCAAGAAGAACGCGATTTTGTGGTTAATGATGAGGTACGTAAGCGATATAAATTTTAGCCGGTGTGAACAAATGATATACGTCTTCTTTCTTTCCTCTGTAACAGTTGCTATGCGTGTTGATCGAAGAAGACGAATGTAATCTAGTAGAGTATGTTGACGTCCCAAAAATTCTGGGTGATTTGTTCGAGTCTTTAATCGGTGCCATTTATCTTGATAGTGGCAAAAGCCTTACGAAAGTCTGGGAAATTGTTTATTCTTTTATGCACAAAGAAATCGGTAAGAGATTTATATATACATATAAATTTATTTAATTACAAGTTCTTGATTTGATCTTGATATGAATATTTTACTTTAGTGGTGCGCGTGCGCGCGCGCGCGCGCGCGCGCGTGTGTGTGTGTGTGTGTGTGTGTGTAACATAAAATATTCATATTAAGTCAAATCAAGAACTTGTAATTAAATAAAGCATAAATTTAAAAAGTTTATATATAATGCCAACTCTTTTATTGAGATTTTAATGTTTGTGTTGTGTTATAGATGAATTTAGCAAAAATATTCCTAAGCAACCAGTACGAGTGATATATGAGAATACAGACATACGTCCTAAGTTCCTGTAAGTATAGTTACGCACATAGCACATGTTGCGTGCACGCGCACGCTCTCTCTCTCTTTCTCTCTCTCTCTCTCTCTCTCGTATATGTATATAAAACGCATTTGTGATTACAGAGAAGCGACACTGATTAAAGGCACTAACATGGTTATGATACCTTTGAAAATCACTATCGCTGGTAAAGAAAAACTCTTCCATGGTTTTGGCGCTAACAAAAAGCAGGCCAAACGCGCAGCCGCAAAACAAGCTTTAAAAAGACTGCAACTTGAAAAATAATTTTTTTTGAAGATTGTTTTATATAACCATAATGTATGTTTATAAATGTTAATGTTTATAGATTTATACAAATATCAAAACTGATATTATTTCATATTTCATAAGTCTTGTAATACAGTGAGATTTCGATATTTGACTGTGCAAGTATTAAATATCAGTTTGTGATTAATAAATCAGGTTAGAGCAAAAGGTTTATAATTTCAATAAAAATATCAGTAAAGAAAATTCATAAAGAAATTATACATTCTTTATGTCTAATGTTTAACATTCGATTAACTTATTAATTTCGAATTATTGGATTTATAGTTATTAATTTTTTTTTACCATTAATTAAATTGTGTTTTTATACAATGCATTCCGAAATGTACTAACGATATTGAATATATATATGGCGTATGTAATGTAAAACACAGATTTTTAGTATTATTAGTACATTTTGGAATGCACTCGTAATATTTTCTGATCCAAATTTGTAAAATTTTTTTTAATGACAAAAAAAGATTTGAATTGCAGATGGAAAATAAAAATTATTGTAAGACTTGCAACATCTGCTTTTAATCTAATAAACTTAAATTGAATTAATAAATCTTTCTTTTGCACCAACCGATGATCAATATGTTATAAATGCATAAAATTTGTATTATGAAAATATATTTGATAAATAATGTATTTCAAATTTCCATTTTTTTTTTTTAAATGAATTATTTTACTCTACTTTCTACAGAGTTCATGCATTTTTGAAATTAAATATATGGAGATGCATTATAATTCCAGTACAATCAGTTACTTCCGAAATAATAAAAAAAAAGATGTATTTCTTCCACGACAAAAGTTACACGCTCGATATATAAAAATGTTTTATATAATTTATTATTGCATTTTGATTATATCTATAGAGCAAGCTAACAATGTGATATAATAAGTTTTAATTGCGTTAATGGTCTCATATCATGTCTTTCCTATAGTTAGGTATTTTTCAAGTGATGCTGAAAGATCTATATTTATAAATATTTTCATGTTACAATTCATGTAATTGCTACATTTAAAAAAAGGGAATAAAAAAGAATAAAAAGATAAGAGAAAGTGCAATACACAGTAATTGTACCGTCTAATTTTCAGCTTTCCTCTTTTTCAAGGAGGGTCGGTCAAAGACTTGCTTCATCCCCGCCGCTTGATTGTTGTGAAATTTGAGATTTTGAGCTGTCTCCGATATCCACGGAGAATCGAACTGCGTCGTGTCCTGATCCACCAAGTGAGTGTATTTAGTTCTGCCGCTGCGCCCGAAGTTCTTCACCTGCATAACCTTCGGTAGAATCGTCTTGTCGAAGTGGTCCTCCAAAGTCGCGCCGGAGAAGTCGCGCTTGAATATAGAATCGTCCTTGTCCAAGTAGAACGCGCCACGGTGATAGTATTTCTGCAGGAACTTGTACTTTCCCTTGGCCGCCTTATTGGTAATCGTCTTGGGATTCAGCCGCGCCTCCTGCCTTCGCTCTTCCTCGGTCATGTTACGAATACGCTCGATCTCCAGACGCTCCTTCTCAAGCTGCTCCCTCTCCTCGCGATCACGTTTGATTCTCTTCAGCTCGCGCAGCTTCCAAGCCTCGTACTCCACCTCGTCGTTCTCGTCGTCCGTGCAAACGTCGTTCAGCTTGCTCTCTTGCTCCGCATTACTGCCCTTATTGCCCATCTGCGTCTCCTTCCGCACCGTCTCCTCCACCAGCCTCAGAGTTTGCCTCTTTCGCTCCTCGGCCGCTTTCTTGGCCTCGACCTCCGCCTGCTTCTGCCGCATCGCCTCCTTCTCCTTCTCCATCACCGTGATTCTGTCCTTCTTGCGTACGAACACGGGCTTCAATCGCGGTCCGGTCTCCTCCTCGGAGTCCGTGTACTCCTCGTACTCCGAGCTCTCCTCCGAGCTCTCGCCCGATTTGTCCTCCTCCTCGCCCTGTATCAGCTCCTCCTCCGTTTCCTTCTTGGACAACACTCGCTGCTTCAGGGCCTCCCGTCGTTTCTCTATCTCAGAATCCGACAGCTCCTCATCCTCGGATGAGTCGGAGCTCTCTAACTTGATCCTCTCCCGCGTTCTCTCCAGCTCGATCTCGATCAGCTCGGGCTCGTGAATGTGCCTGTGTCTCTCTGTGCGCACCTCGGCCTGCGCCTCCTTCTGCTGCCGCGTTAATCTCCGCAGACGCGGATCGTCCTCATCCCTACTCCTCGTGTGCGAGTGCGAGGTGACGTCCGTGACAATCTCGCCATCGTCGTAACCCTTGTGCACGCGCTTGTCAAGAAAATCCTCGTCTTCCGATTCCTCATCCGAACTTACCGCTGCATAATCCGGCCGCTTACCGGAAACGTAACGATGTACCTTCACCTTCTTCATAGACAATTCTCCTGTAAAACAGAATTTTTTTTTTTAAATTTTTATATACATAAAACATAGGAAATCTAAATAGCATCATAAATATTTGTTTCTATACATGGGAAGGAAAACGAATCAAATAAAATATTAAAATATAAATATATGAAAATTCGTAAAAAAGGCAAAAGCAGAGGCATTTCTTATAATTTTTCTTCAAAATAAGGCGAATATCTTCTGCGTATGTTATGGACAAATTGCTCTGTGATAATAATCCAAAACATCCCCACCACCTCCAATTTTTACGAAATTAGTAATTTTATTATTTTTATAAAATTCTTGCTAAAGGCAAGAAAAATAATTTTGATATCCCTAATTTCGTCAAGGATGAAAAAGAATATTAAATAAATGTCAGTTTTACTTTGACAAACGTAAACTAACCTTTATCGTTCTTCACAGGCACCGCACCCGCCGTGCTTTGTATCCCCATGGGTGCGGGTGCCAAGGAATTGTTCGTCACAAAATAGTCCATCATCATCTTGACGCCGTGTGGAAAAACGTATCAGCGGAATATCAAAATCAAGCAAAATTCGATTCGATCTCGCTCGCAATCGCTCGCAATGCGATGGATCTTCGGCACAACCCGCACAACACTCTCACGAGTCTCACGACTCCCACGACACTATTGACAATTGGCAACACTCCGAACTCCGCTGAACTCGAAGCGCTCGGAAATAAAGCGGCTGTCCACCAGTCGGTCAGTCGGAGAAAATGAGAGAAAATAATCACGCTATTATCGACTGATGAGATGGAAGTGTTACATTATCGATCTTATTACATTCGAATCTACATTCGAGATTTCGATAAATCGCTTTCTCATTCAAAAATCCAGGCTATAATAGGACCCAAATAATAAACACAGAAATCGTAACAATATTATTATGAAGTCAAATGATATCATAACGACGTCATTATGATTTTATTTTGTCATTTGTAAGTCATAAATATAACGTATAAGAATTGACATATTATGTCATAATAATATAGTTTGATTCAATTAAATGTTCTATATATCTCGGATAAAGCTTTGAGATTTTTTTGTGCTCTTCAGCACAATCAAACTGGGACTTGCGTAGAAATTATCTCCTGTTTATTATATAGTTAATTATAATCACGCAAATCCCAATTTTTTTTTATTGTTCCAGCTTGAAACGCTTCAAATTGAAATTGCTAGTATCGAAGTAATATTATATGTGCGACGTATGTGTGATGCATTCTCTCACTGTTTCCATGCAACTTTTAATTCTCTCCTCGCTGCACGGTTATATATTAATAATAATTTTCGAAATTTTTAAAAAATTGAAACACCGCGCGCGGAGTAAAATATTTTTCAAAGTTAAAAAGTTGAATGAAGTAATCTGTGTAATCGTTTGCATAAAGATATGGGGTCATCATAATTACGACAATTATAGACGTACATACAATAGAAACGCGTGGCATATATAAAATCCCATCTACATAAGTCGCAAACGCAAAACGCAAACGCAAACGTTTCTTTCTTTCTTTTCTTTTTTTTTACGTTTCGTTCTTTTTTTCTCCGCGTTTGCATTTGCGTTGTGCGTTTGCGACTTATGATAGATGGGGCTTAATGGGTTTCGATATGCGTAATTGTTTACAATTATTAGAACGTTGTGTAGAACGACGGCGCGACGTTGGCGTTTAACATATTAGTCGATCATCGTCGTGAAGTGAGGTCGATTAGGCGAGACCAGATGAGACGACATGAGAATGGTCGCCTGGCAGCATGGGCCGCGTTTTCTTGCCTGATCCACCCGATGCCCGAGCTGCGTTCTACCGCGCTAACGAGGAGACAGAGAAGTTCGAGGTAAATCAGACATCGTTTTCCCAGGATCTAATTCCGCCACGCATCATCCTGCACCTCGATATGAGCCTATCCTATCTCGGCTGACCGAGCCTCGAGCGATCGCGATCGAGCGTGACTCTCATCGTGATCGCGCTCCTATTTCGTAATGTTACAATCGCAAAAACGCGCCGAGCTGGCTCTTGTGAATGGCGAGCAAAAAGGTGCCCTTCTTCAGGCAAATTAGATTTAAAACGTACGTAGTCTACAAACGGAAACGTTACGTCACAACGCTACGAAGAAACGACTGTGCGTGGGAAAAAAAAATACGGGAAAATAACTGCAATACAAGGTCTCGATAACAGAAGGAGATGAATGATTGAAGCCAGAACGTGGTTGGCGTTGCGTAAATATACTTATAATGAGCGTCTCGATAACCGTATAAGAACATACGACAAATTATTAATGCCTAGTGAACATTTTTGTAATAGTTACAGCCACAATCAATAATGACCTGGATAGTGCTACATTATTACGATCGTTATCGGCATAATCATTAGTGGCATTGAATATTTATGCACCAATAACGTTTCTAACTTAAAGAAAAAGGTTTAATTTTTTCTATTAAAGTCGCGTACTTTATAATTGCCCGCTATTATTTGTCGACCGACATATTAATCGAGCGTGAAACGGCGGGATATTGAATATAAATATGTTTATGATATAAGTTACACTTTTGATGTACATTGTAATATAAAAACCACGTACATATAAAATCAATTTTATTGTACGCGTGAATTCAAGCTAGAGTCACGAGTACGTGGCGCGCGCGATGGAGAAGGCCGCGGCAGATTCTTCGTCGCAGAGCAAGGTCGGAGACAATAGTCAGGCAGATAAAGAAGATTTAAACCCGACATCGCGCTATAATGAAGTTCCCGCTATGCAGCGGCAGACGCAGTTTATGTGCTCTCTGTACATTTCGCGCGCCGGCGGCCTCCAAGATCAAGGCCACGGGGTCCAAGGTGACAATGCAACATCTGCATTCTAAAGATGAGAACTGTGTCATACGATCTGATTTATAGTCCATCAGACGCTAATTCAATCAATTTAAACAGTAATATGAGAGACAATTAATGTAAATCATTTCATTATCGAAATTTAGGCATCAATATTATATAATGCAGTTTGAATAATATAAAACATCAATAGCTCGCCTTGATCTTGCGTTAGTTTTAGATCGATATTTTATCATTCATTCCTCGATTAGATTGCGAGCTGCTGCGATCTCATCTCGAGGAAGCTATCGCCGCTTCCGAGCCGTTGTCGACTTGGCGCGTCTCTGAGACTCCGTGCGGTCTCATAGCCGCTTTCGTACGAGAAAACGACGCCGAGAAACTCTTGCAACGCGGCGACTTAGCTCGAGTGTTCGGAGGACCCGTGCAAGTACGTTTATCTGCACATTCTATCCAACGTCTCTCAAACAACACTAGAGATATAGAAACTGAGATAGCATAAAAATTTTTCGCGTATTTATTTTCTTTGCGTTTTCCATTGGTATGTTATATAGCCAAGTATTTTATTATTTTGACGCTACATCGCCGATTGTGATGAAACGTCAATTTTTAACTAAATATTTAGAAATATTTACAAATATTATTTAAAAAAGCTAAAACATCTTTCGACTTATATCTTATTTCCATCAGGTAGCGCGATTCTCGGCAAGAGACTCTCGATATCGCCAAGCCGTGCTTCTGAGAGACGTGCCATGGGCCATACCGCTGCAGGATATAAATTCGGCTCTAGCGAAGCAAGGAATCGTCGCTGGAAACGTCGAACGTTCACGGCAATTCGTTCGAGTAGAGGTGAAGAATGTTAATTTTTTTTCTATTTTAATTAGCCTGATAATACCTTATCACTGCCATTATGTAGATATATATAAACATAGTAAGCTTCGTAGTTTGAAACAGCGAAACATTTTCTACTGCACAAACATTAGTGCATAACGCGCTGATTAAACTAAGCAGACTGCATCATTTATTTAAATTCGTATAAAAATATATAGTACTACGTAATTTTAAACCAGTTCTCATACTAGAAGTTCTATAAAGTCTGCAACCGGTTTTGAAAGTCAACTTTCCATATGTCTCATTTACGGTCGGTACTATTTGTAAAAAAAATTTAGACGAGAGAGAGAGAGAGAGAGAAAGAGAATATGTTAAGATGAAGATCAGAATAAGCCAGCCGTATAAAATCGTTGATATAAGTATGATGCATAAAGTGTGTACAAATATAACATATGTGTAACACGTTGTAAATATAATTGACAGTCTGATATAAGATAGTAGAGGATATATATTTATCGATCCTCTGTCGAATCCCCCCAGGTTTTCGACGCGGGTCATTACGAAGCCTTGCTACGTCAAGGTCTGGATTTTTTCGAGGTGGCTCGTTTCAATGCTGTTCCGGAACGCTGGTGGCGTGGCGGCGGCGGCTGCGGCGGTACCGCATGCGGCTCATTCGGTATACCCTCGAGATACGCGTCGCCGGGGAACGACGGAAACAATACTACTCCAGAAGCGTATCAGGAGAACTTATCGCAAACGGCGGACAGCGTGTTGCAATGCTACCGATGTCAGGGTTTCTGGCACGTGGCCGCTAATTGTCGGCACTTACCGCGCTGCGTCCGCTGCGGCGAGCCGCACAGCGTCGAGTTTTGCCCAAGGCCGCGGAACAACCCTATATGCTGCCACTGCTCCGGACCTCATCACGCCGGTAAATCCTCTTTGTCGAGGATCCTAGCGTCTTTTCTATTACACGTCTTTCATTAATACAGCAAATAATAAGGGGCCAAAGAGTCAAATTCGACCGAAGTTAATGTCGATTGCCCAGTAGTATAAATTTTTTAATTTCAGCTACCGCCAATTACCGTACTGGTCTTTAAATACGCAATCAAAACTTAAAGCTGAAATAATATCAAATTGAAAATCAATTTAATATATGATATTATTTCAGCTTTAGGTTATATAATTACGGTCATAAAAATCGGCGCGCAGTTTACGGTAGTTGAAATTTAAAAATTAAAAATATTATTGGCAATCATCAATATTTAGATTCGGCCAAATTAGGCTTTTTCCTCCTTATTATTTGTTGCATGGCCTTGTTTGTATTCATTCTTCCACATTAATTTTTCGTCAATATCCATTACGTATATCTGTGATAAGTGTTCAGAACCGTCGCAAATAGAAGTGCAAGTTGTGCACTGCAATAAAGACCTAGTAACAAGAGAGGTGGGAAAGCTAAGTTTTAAATCATTTTTTTATTCTTAATACAATTGTATGTACTCGCTTCTGTCAGATTTATTTTCTTCCGAAATGTATATTATGTATATCAATTTAGAGAAACCGTATCACAAAATCTAGAATTTGATTGGACCGAATAGTTATTTATTTCTCAACGCGCTACTGAAATCTTCCAGAGCTGTACAGAGCCATATGAAAATATTTTAATACGAGAGAGTATCGACTAGGTAACTTTTTTCCTAGAGCGAAAACGTAAAAAGTGAAAAATTTCTGTTTACTTCAACAATAAAAATTTTCACTTTTTTCGCCCTAGGGAAAAGATTACATGATCAATATCCTAGAATAAAAATGAAAAATTGTGCTTTCTCTAAAGATGTTTAAAAAATATCTTATGTTTAAAGATTGATAAATAAAAATATCAAGAGGGACGATAAAATCCTCTTTGCAAAGGCGCCTTATATGTCAGCGGCGCCTCTGATAAAAGTTAACAAATAAAACAACATTATTCATGTATATAATTTGACTGTACTAAAAAAATGTATACTTCTTACTTATATATCTAAATATATTTCTGTACTCTGTTATAATTACATATTTCTAGATTCATGAATAATCGCTTAGCGAGCCTTAGCTTCTATCGATAAATATATGTTAATCAAATGATTATGCAAAGTGCGCAACAGCTGGAAAGTGGAAGTCACACAGCGGATCGAAAAAGTAGATTTCTCGTCGTTTAAAAAAATCCGCGAGATGTGAAAGTCGACCGTGATTCATTCCGGAAATCGAATTGCGACATAATTAAAAATTACGATTTATGCAAATTACCTCGCGTGTTGTGATCATAAATATTCATTTCTGTTAATATTCATTAATCATAAACGTAGTGTGTTGAGCAATTTGGAAAAAAAACATCGAAGGAAAAAGAGCTAATTTCTCATCGTAACATGTCGATTAGAATTTACTCCAAGAGGTTTACACAGTCAGTACCTCTACCTACTTGTATAACAAATTATTTTGCTATCACAAATTGCCTTGTAGTTAAGTCATAATAACAAATTGTTTCTATTTCCATCCTATATCATCTATCACCAAAGTCCACGTGTATTATTGAAATTATCGGTGCGTTACACTCATATACACGCGACATGACTATAATGCTTTTTCATTTTTTATTACAGGATATAGACAGTGCCCAGTCAGATTGCAGCTATCTAACGCGACACCGGTGAGCATCACGTTGAGCACGGCACGCACGGGGGGGGTTCAATATCCAGCGAGCGCTACGAACAAGTCGAACCCCTCGTGCCACTCTCTGAGACAAGGCCACTGTTAAACATCGTTTTTACCATGCAAAATTATAGAGAAGTATCGGCCTCGAAATTAGCATCGTTCTCGAAAAAATCCAGTGGAAGCGCGTAACATCTTTCTGCATTGCATAACGATTTATCGCGAGCCATGAAAATAATGGGAACACGTTGACAGTTTCGTGTCGCGTGGCATCGCGTGAAAAAAAGAAAACGCTCTTCTAAGCGAGGCGCGTTCCTTCGACCGCGAAAAAATTCGCAAACGATTTATATTTTACATTACAAACAAGCTGCACGTTTTCTAAAAGATTTTCACTTTTAAGACGCCGTCGCCTTTTTAGACACTATTGTGTTTTTTGTACATTTTCTATTTTCTAGATTTTTTACATGCAAAATACACGATGGTTTTTATAAATGTCAGATGTCTTTTGACGCGGTAGCGAAGAGAGATAAGATATCGCGCTTTGCTCTTTTTTATATACCCTCAAATTTGTAGGATTTTGTAAATTTGCTGCAGTTACTACTCGCGGAATCGTATAACACCGCCGTTTCGTCCCACTTTCTTCGTCCTAGTCCTGCGAATGTAGGTCTCCCCACTAGTTTTCCACGTCTGTCACTGCTACCACCAGGTAATACCTCGGGACCGTGGAGGAGAGGGAAGTTATACGTATCGCGCGAACACATTTAGTCATTCGATCGGCTACTAGTCCGGCCTGTTCATGTACGACCGATTGGATGGGTGCGTTATAATTATACACCGATACACCGTCTGTGTGACGGGAAGTCCGGCGATCAGTCGATCGGTTTCGCGCCAACACGAACAGTATCGGTCAAATTACGGGTGTTAACTTCATTTTTTTTAACAGACAACTTTTGTGTAGAGTTAAGAGTATATCTCCGTTGAAATTTTCCGCTGTTTCTCTTCCGTAAAGATGTACCATGTGCCAAATAAACATTTCAATTAACGCGACGGGGTATAAGTTCGGTTTCGTTAAATTCGAAGCAAACGTTTCGAAGAGAATGGCTCATTATTATGTATGAGTGCGCTTCTTCTTATTTTAGAATCTTCTTCAAAAGATCGCTATATACGTTCTACAAATAATCGGATAATGCTCGTGGACTTTGCACGAGGACATCAGATAAAAAAAAATTTGTGCTTCGTAAAGACGACTCTGCAGCATACGATATGGAGACTTTAAGGAAATATAAAATCGCGTAATGTGCGGCGATTACAGACGTGTCGGATTGCGCGCGTTCGTTTATACGTGTATGACACACTGCCTTGATAACGGCGCGTATTATTTTCAAATAAGTGGCAAGTGGGACGAAGAAATGTGGATTCACGTCAGATCGACTTTTGTCTCGTCGATTGTTGATTGATAACGCGTTGCTCCTGCAATGTGAATCACTCTCTCTCTCTACCCACAAAATATATGTCTTTTGTATTTGTTAATTTCAATATAGTTTAGAAACAAAACTTTTATCATCGTGCCCGTAAGTTATACAGACTCTGCGTTACGCCGACTAATAGCATAATAAAACGAAAGGAGGATCGATAGTTTGAAGGAAAAGATGTATTCAGTGTACTTGACGGCTTTCCTCGTCGTGTCTATATGCAATTTAACCGCTCAGCAGCCAACGTTCTTCAGAAGTACATTCAAGGGGTTGAGTGGCCTCACGCCAAGCGTCGTTGCGCTCGCGAAAGACGAAATACGAGCGGTCTATTATCACGAGCAGACGGTGGCGGTGGTCGATCTAGGCCCGAGAAATGAGCTACACGATTGCAATATAATCGAAGTATAGTAAGTGGTCGTCGCCCACAATAGTAAAAGCTGCACGGGGTGTATCTTAAATACCGCCCACTAAGATCTAGCGTTATTCCTTATAAAAAATTGAGTCGGAAGGTCCTGAACGATCCCAGTAAATAAAAATGGATTAAAATAGAAAAAGATTTATTTCAATATATATGCAAATGCATACTTCTGAAAATCTGAATTCATTTCAAATGAATTCATTTGCCTTTGTAATCATTTAAAGCGCATTTTCTATATGCCATTTAAAAAATAAGTTTAGTTTTAAGAAGAAAAGCGTGAATATTAATTAATTCAAAATTCTAAATAGAAAATGCAGTTTTTTCAATTAAATTCAAAAAAAGTTTTTTGTGAATAGAAAATACATTTCAATCTAAACAAAAAATATTACGTATATCATATTAATATTGCACAAAAAATATATTCTATTTGTATTATGAAATAGAAATGCATTCACGAAGGCCAATCCATTTCAATCCATGGATTAAAAAATTTTAACCCATTTCCGTTCACTGGGATTTCTTTCTACATATATTGCTCAATGATTACTATTGCAGTAATTACTGCTTCATTGAGCATTGTAGAAAAAAAATGGTTCAGGACTTTTTTTGATCGCTTGACCCAATTTTTTATAAGGAATACCACTATATGATTAGCGGAGCGGTATTTAAAAACTATTTTTGTCTATAATACTTAATGAAGCAATAATACTGTAATAGTGATAGCTTTATTTAGCACTATAAAAAAATCGCTCAAGATTTTTCGATTCAGTTTTTTTTTTACAAAAAATAACGCTATAATTAAGGGACACTATTTAAGATACACCCTGTATAATAAAACTGAAACCAGTTCTCACCCGATTATATATTTAATCGTTAATTTAATTTAATTATTTAATCCTTTTTCTTTACAATGCCGCGCCATTTTTTACACGCATCACTGACTCTTGCAGCGAGCCGTCCGAGGCTGTGGAAGTTTTGCGAAACTTATCTATGACTTTACGTCCGCAAGTGGTGTCCTTCCAGGAGATAACGAGACTCATGCACCAATGTGAATTATTAGACGGATTACAAGTGGAGGCGACATCCACTTTGCCCACGAACGCACTGAGCAGAGGGACCCGCATAGCCGCGAGTTCCATAACTCTGTTCTCCGGTATTCTGCCAGGTTAGTCAATTTAATTATCATTTTCAAGCGCGCAGTTTCATCGAATTGCAAAATTTGTTAACAAAAACCGAATATATACTCCTCAGGCACAAAATGGTGCGGCACGGGCGATATAGCCGAGAATTATCACGATTTGGGCGATCTACCTCATATCGACAGGTTGAAATTTAGAGTCGTAACTTATCGATTTTCGAAAATAACAGGGAGATAAATCTTTTTTTGCTTTTCAGATGTTGTCGTAATCACGATCTCTGTCCAATAAAAGTACGAGCTCAGCAGACCCGATACAATCTCACTAATTATTCGCTATACACTAAGTAAGATCTCATCAGAAATTGGTAAAAAAAATCAATTTGTTTTCAGAAAAAGTTTTATGCGTCTTTAAATTAATATATCACGTTATTGTTAATTACTAAATTTTCTTAGCAAGCTAACAAGTTATAAAAAATTACCTTTATTGTCAACTATCTCAAGTCGTCTTCGTAAGGCGGACAGTTTAAAGTATTCAACTTTTTACAGATCACACTGTACTTGCGACCAATTGCTTTATCAATGTTTAAAAGCTGCTAATCATCCAACGGCGAATTTGATGGGACAAATATACTTCAATATCGTCAAAGTGCCGTGTATAGAAGACATAGGAAGAAATCGATATTCTTCCCCGGATCCATTAAGAAAATTTGTACCTGTACAAAGAGTATATTAATTATAAGACATAATTAGCAGCATATATAAAGTATTATAATAACAAAAACTAAAAAAATATATATATGCTCCGTCCAGTGATAAATAAAATATTTAAAACTATATAAATATATATATATATATATATATATATATATATACAATCAAAAGACTATAAATATATTTTTATATTTGCATCACGCACTTTATAAGTTATTTTTATTAGCATAACGTACCTTTCTTTAAAGAAGATGTCATTTTAATGCACATTTGCATTTATACAGAATTTTCAACTGAGGAGAAAGCCTGATTCAGTGCTGATAAAAAAGGTATAAGATTCCTTATATCTTTACAAACACTGGATGATTTATTATGATTATACAAATTCCCTGTAACAATTTATTAAAATAATTAGATAATATTTCACATTCTTATTTTATCTTTTTTTAAAAACATTGAAAAAAGATCGTATAGTCACCTATTAACCATAGAGTTTCTCTTCTAATATGCATATAAGGATGCGATAACAATTTATTCAACAAAAGATGCAGATCCTCGTTTGAGTACTTTGGATTCCTTAAAAGAATATCTGTCGTATCTTTGCAGGAACTATGTAATGTATTAGCCAGTATATGTATGGATGCTGTAATCTAAAAACAGAAAAGGCCTGTTAATTGTGTATAAATATATATAAGTTCACACCAGAATAGACAAGAAGTTGCTAATTCTAAATAAAATTTAAAAAAAGTCAGAAACTGATAAAATTAAATGGTTTATAATTTCGTATATTCGAACAAATTCTAAAAAATTCATAAATATTTAATCTAAAAATAAAAAAAAATATGATTCTCAATATTTCAAATATTTCATATTTTGTTGTATGAAGAAAAAAGAACCAAACCTCGCTGACTTGAAGCATTCCATCCGAATTGGAAAATGTCAAATAAAGATAATACACGACTTGTGGCAGAATAGCATGCAAATATTCAATGCATATCGGCGAAGAAGACAATAAAGCTAACAGCCAAATATAATTCAGATCTTCGTATAAGAGATTCCGTTTTACAATAACTTGGATGAGCTCCAACATTTCAGTTTCTCTGTAAATATCAGATAACATATTGAACTTTCTCTTGCAAATTTCATCTCTGCATTATGTAAAAGTGGCTAATACTTACGATATCTTATGAAATCCCGCGTGTACGTAATGTAAGAGCGCATATATCACGGAAGGAAGGATTGAGTCGTCACAATTGCGTAACAGTAAAATTAGGTACTTCAAACAGTGTTGCGCGTGCAAGATAAAGAAAGCCTTATCGCTTCCTGCAACTAAATTACCGATTGTCCAAATGCAAACATCCTAATAAAATACAAATTCATGTACTTCATTTCAATGTAATTCATTTAACTTCATTGTCTTTTGCACAATGGAGAAACTTACCAGCAGTGCATAATTTAAACTTTCTAGCTTAACAACCAGATATGGAACAACTGCTTTTCCCAATGCCGTGCATGCTTTTGTATTTCCCAGAGCAATATTACAACAGCAGTTAGCTGCGTATAATTGAAGAGTCGGATCATTGCCGGACAGATCACGCACCAGGCCTGACAGGCTTTGATCTACTTTTAAAAAGGCGTTTATGTTCTCCTCCGACTGAAACAAATATAACAGGATTATGTATTATATTATTCGTTACTTGCATCATCGTAAAATATATGTCATTCTTAAATACAAGCTATTTTATAAGAAATAATATGCAAAAATTGACTGGAATATGAGTAAACAGCATGTAGAAATAAGCCTATTCAGTTGAAGCAAAATTCTTGATGCTTGATAATATCTTTGAATTTATATACATTTTCCAATTCATGCAAACTGCGCGCCGATTATTTGTCAAACTTGATACATTGAATTGTTCTAAATTAAAACTGGAGTTGTAATATCAAGATTAAACTGATAATTAAACTGATAATAAATAATTAAACTTATAATATAATATCGTGTTTCGATATATGTACACTGCCAGTACTGAAAATATACGTAACGTAAACTATAGATTTTCAGGTACTAGCAGTGTACGTGGCTCTAATTCGATTCAATTGAATAATAATAATGCTGGTAGGCATTATTTTACAAGATGCTGATAGAGATTACTCCAGCGGGATACGTACTTGAATGAGAGCATTGGGCAAATATCTGTAATCCACGAGGGTTATTTTTTTCCTCTTGAGAAGCTTCACCTTCTCGTGGACGTGCTCGACGGAAAACGGCTCGACCTCCGGACACTCTCCCAAATTGGTACGACTCCTGTTCCAGGCGGACACGCGATTCTCCTTCCTCTTGCTCAAGGTAGCCTCCCTCAATTCCGTACGTACGATCTCGACTCGTTCGCTGTCGTTCGAACGAAGTTCCGCGGACTCGTCCCGCTCCTCGTCGACAGCCTGCATAGCTTATAAACTGAGAATTTATCGGCTCTCTTTAACAGGCGCACGGCGCCGAACAATCGAATGCTCGTCGCAGCGACCGAAATCTTCGACGAGTTCAGGTAAACGATTCAAATAACCTCACTTTTCCCTCGCGACTAATAAGTAATAACACAGGGGCTGTTTTATCGATGCATTATAGCGCCTGCGCGTCGCTGCATTGCAGAACTCTACGTTACCGAGGAGATGGCAATTCGATAAGAGGTTCAGCAAAGAGAACCACAGACGGCGCGCGAGCGGCGAAGAGGTTAGATGAGTAACATGGTGTAACATGGTGCAATCAAGTGCAATCAGGTGTAATGTGGTGCAACAGTGGTATCTGATGTTTATCCTAAAAAGACACGATGAGTAAGATGAGACAAAGTCGTCAGAGAGAAGCCTGAGCTGCCTGAGGTTAGACGTCGTCGTAATTCTCTCTATTCGCTTGTATTTTCGTTCTTTTCTTTTCGCTTGTAATGTGGAGTGGTAAGCAGTTGTAAGTGGAAAAACAAACGTTTAGCCTAGAAATTCTTGTCAACGCCAACATTGCTGGTGTCGCGAGAATCGAGTATTTTAGGTTTAAATAAAGGAATTTTGATAGGAATTACGTGTGTTCGCAAGGTATCCTGTGTTGCGTCACGTTGCGTCACATCGCGCAGTAAAATGGAAGAGGTCACGAAGTTGGAACACCTGTCTCTGGTGTCGAAGATCTGCACGGAGTTGGAGAATCACCTGGGGCTGAACGACAAGGACCTGGCCGAGTTTATCATACATCTGGCTGAGAGGAACAACACGTTTCCGATGTTCAAGAAGGTGCTGATCGAGAACGGAGCCGAGTTCTCGGACTCCTTCGTGGCCAATCTCCTCAGGATAATACAGCACATGAAACCCGCGAAAACCGCGTTCACCGAGAAGTGGACCAAGCCTACGAGCAAGCAGGACGAATTGGCGCAAAAATTCCCGGCGCTGGCGTTACCGAACGAGGAGCCACGTTCCGAGATCAAGGACGTCGCCAAGGATGAGGATATCGTCAACGACGTTATGGCCTCCCTGGAGGCGTTCGCGCCGTCTAATAAGAAGCAGTCCGCGAACGCGTCCGAGAAGAGTGACGATAGGATTGACCACGGCGAGAAGAGGAGCAAGCGGGGAAGGAAGAGCAGAAGCAGATCGAGGGAGAGAAGGCGACACAGATCCAGATCGTCGAGTCGAAAGGAGAGGCGTCACAGGTCTCGATCGCGTTCCCGCTCGCGAACGCGTCAGAGATCGCGCGACAGAGCGCGCCGAAGGCGCTCCGCGTCCCGGGAACGCAGGAGATCGTCGTCGCGCGATCGCAGAGACGCGAGACACTCGAGGAGACGCGACGCCGACAGATCCCGATCCAGATCCGCCGAGGAGACGCTCTCCGCCGAGCCGGAGGTGGGTAAGATTTACGCGGGTAAGGTCGCGAATATCGTGCCGTTCGGCTGTTTCGTTCAGCTGGAAGGCCTGAGACGTCGCTGGGAGGGCCTGGTTCACATCTCTCAATTGAGGCGGGAAGGTCGCGTGGCAAACGCGAGCGACGTGGTCTCCAGAGGGCAGAAAGTTCTGGTGAAGGTCCTCAACGTCGGTGGACAGAAGGTGTCTCTGAGCATGAAGGATGTCGATCAGGAAACCGGGAGGGATTTGAATCCCGTAGTGCCGATCGCGAAGGCTGACGAGGACGAGAAGCATTTGCGTAATCCAGACAGGCCTACCTCCCTGCTGGAGCTTCAGGGTAACTACGACGAGGACGAGACGTACTCGAGAAAGCGCGTGCAACGTCTGTCGTCGCCGGAGAAGTGGGAGATCAAGCAGATGATGGCCGCGTCGTGCATCGATAGGAGCGAGTTGCCGGAGTTCGACACGGAGACCGGGATTCTGCCGCGAGAGGACGACGAGGAGGAGGACGTGGAGATCGAGCTCGTCGAGGAGGAGCCGCCGTTCCTGCACGGCCACGGCCGAGCACTGGGTGATCTCAGTCCCGTGCGGATAGTGAAAAACCCGGATGGCTCGCTGGCGCAAGCGGCGATGATGCAGAGCGCTCTGGCAAAGGAGCGGCGGGAACAAAAGATGCTGCAGCGCGAGCAGGAGATGGATTCCGTGCCCACCGGCCTGAACAAGAATTGGATAGACCCGTTACCCGAAGCGGAGAGCCGCACATTGGCGGCGAACATGCGTGGCATTGGCCTGCAAACGCAGGATCTGCCCGAGTGGAAGAAGCACGTGATAGGCGGTAAAAAGTCATCGTTCGGTAAGAAGACCAATCTGACGCTGTTGGAACAGCGACAGAGCCTGCCGATCTACAAGCTGCGCGACGATCTGGTGAAAGCCGTGACGGACAATCAGATTCTGATCGTGATCGGAGAGACGGGTTCGGGCAAGACGACGCAGATCACGCAGTACTTAGCGGAGGCCGGTTTCACCACGCGCGGCAAGATCGGCTGCACGCAGCCGCGTCGTGTGGCCGCCATGAGCGTGGCCAAGAGAGTGGCGGAGGAGTTCGGTTGCTGCCTGGGTCAGGAGGTCGGCTACACTATCCGTTTCGAGGATTGCACCGGGCCGGAGACCAGCATCAAGTACATGACGGACGGTATGTTGCTGCGCGAGTGCCTGATGGACCTCGATCTGAAAACGTATTCGGTAATCATGCTGGACGAGGCGCACGAGCGCACGATACACACGGACGTGCTGTTCGGTCTGCTGAAGCAGGCGGTAGGCCGTAGACCCGATCTCAAGCTGATCGTCACCAGCGCTACTCTGGACGCGGTCAAATTCTCGCAGTACTTCTTCGAGGCGCCGATCTTCACCATACCCGGACGCACGTTCGAGGTCGAGGTGATGTACACGAAGGAGCCGGAGACTGATTACCTAGACGCCGCGCTGATCACCGTCATGCAGATTCATCTGCGCGAACCGCCGGGCGATATCCTGCTCTTCCTCACCGGTCAAGAGGAGATCGACACCGCCTGCGAGATCCTTTACGAGCGCATGAAGTCACTAGGTCCGGACGTGCCGGAGCTAATTATCCTCCCGGTCTATTCGGCCCTGCCGTCGGAGATGCAGACCAGAATATTCGAGCCGGCGCCGCCCGGCTCGCGCAAGGTCGTCATCGCCACGAATATCGCCGAGACCAGTCTGACGATCGACGGGATATACTACGTCGTCGATCCGGGCTTCGTCAAGCAAAAGGTCTACAATTCCAAGACCGGCATGGACAGTCTTATAGTGACGCCGATCAGTCAGGCGGCGGCGAAACAGAGAAGCGGACGAGCCGGCAGAACTGGGCCTGGTAAGTGTTATCGGCTTTACACCGAGCGCGCCTACAGAGACGAGATGCTGCCCACGCCGGTCCCGGAGATACAACGTACGAATCTGGCCACCACGGTGCTGCAACTGAAGACCATGGGCATCAACGATCTTCTGCACTTCGATTTCATGGACGCGCCGCCAGTGGAATCGCTGATCATGGCGTTGGAGTCGTTGCACAGTCTGAGCGCGCTCGACAACGAGGGTCTGCTGACACGGCTGGGCCGGCGAATGGCGGAATTCCCGCTGGAGCCGAATCTATCCAAGATGCTGATCATGAGCGTGCACCTTCAGTGCTCCGACGAGATTCTGACTATCGTCAGCATGCTGTCCGTGCAGAATGTCTTCTACCGGCCGAAGGACAAGCAGGCTCTGGCCGATCAGAAGAAGGCCAAGTTCAATCAACCCGAGGGCGATCACCTGACTCTACTGGCGGTCTATAATTCCTGGAAGAACAACAAGCTGAGTAACGCCTGGTGCTACGAGAACTTCGTGCAGATAAGGACACTGAAGCGCGCCCAGGACGTGCGTAAGCAACTGCTGGGCATAATGGACAGGCACAAGCTGGACGTGGTGTCGGCCGGTAAGAACACAGTGCGCATACAGAAAGCGGTGTGCTCGGGATTCTTCCGAAACGCCGCGAAGAAAGATCCGCAGGAGGGCTACAGGACGCTGGTCGACAGCCAAGTTGTGTACATTCACCCAAGTAGCGCGCTGTTCAACCGCCAGCCGGAATGGGTGATCTATCACGAATTGGTGCAGACTACCAAGGAGTACATGAGAGAGGTGACGACGATCGATCCGAAGTGGCTGGTGGAGTTCGCGCCCGCATTCTTCAAGTTCAGCGACCCGACCAAACTCAGCAAGTTCAAGAAGAATCAAAGACTGGAGCCGCTCTACAACAAGTACGAGGAGCCGAACGCGTGGAGAATATCGCGAGTTCGCAGGCGACGTAATTAAAGAATACGCTTATAATCTATATAAATATCGTTCTGCTACAGTATTCGTAATTCGTTTTACTTTCTTGAAAACCTTAGTGATATATAATACAGCTAATCCTAGTTCTTAAAGTAATGTTTTTATCGTTTTTATGCAACAACAGCTTGTATCTACAATGAAACGACTGGGACATTTTTATTTTGTACGTGTACATATGGCATTCTCGATACATGTAAAAAAAAAAACTTATTATTAAGCAAGGAATGAAGACATTTTAATGATATCGCGAAGATATTGAATTAATTTTATTACGATGTCACGATGAAACCGCGGGGAAAGTAATGCGATCATTGAATTATGTACAAGAATGCTGTTATAAAAAAAGAGGAGGTACTATTTACAGGTGTACTATTTACTCTATAGTGTACATACTCTTGTGAACGTTGTAAATATATAATTGTATTCATTCGCATCACATTAAATTTTCGATATTCTTCAATGTTTATCAAAGATCCACTTCGATAAAGTATGATACATATTGAGTACTCAGTCTTCTTCCGAGAAGAGGGCATTGTTTTAAGATTATACGTTTTTCAGTCTTTCCCCTCTTGATTAATTATTAAATTTATTAAATAAATACATTCTCGATAACATTTAATAAGATGACATAGGAAAAATTTTCCTATTTAATTTATTCTTTCCTCTTAAATTTATCTCCGACTTATAATAACCGAGTTTGCTCACGGGCGCATATTCATGTAACATGTAACACGGTTGACACACCATTTGTATTAAAAAAATCAGTATGAAATTTATGATCTTTCAAAAGAAAGACGAATTGATATTTTTAAGTTTAACCAGAAAATATTACTTTTTTCCCGCTTCCGCGCACTTATGGTACTGTTCAATAATACTATTTCTTGGCTCGACGGTACAAAGTACATTTTCGAGAAAACAGGATTCTATACAAATTGAACTATTGAGATTGCTGCTTCTTTTTCACTAATTCCACCAATTGTTTATAGCGGACTTGACATTCTTCCTGTAAATAAACAATATAATTTTGAAATTACAACAATATAGATACAGAAAAAATTCGATTTACAAATTTTTATATAAATTTATAAAGACAGATACATAAGTAATGCACCTTTGTCTTCCCCTCGACACAATTTGCAATTTTTTCCCACCTATCTACAGATGCACCTTTGGGATATTTCGTCAGAGCCGCTTCTAATGCCCTTTGCTGCTCTTGACTCCACTCAGTGGCGCTGACCGTATTTTCACTGCGAGTCTTAATCTTCTTCGGTTTTTCGTCCGCAGAGACTTCCTCCACCGATTCGGCAGGCTTCAAACCTTCCTCTTTCACCTAACGATACAGTAAATGCGACTCAACTTTCATAGTCGATTTATTAAGAAACAATTTAATTTAACGGTAATAACCTTTTTAGCCATGTGCGTAACTTCCGTGACGGTACGATTCATAACGCTCGCGATTTTCTCCCACCGTTCTGGAGTCCCGCCGGGATACTTCTTCACACATTTTATCAGTTCTAATATATCGTTGTCGGTCCACAAGCCGCCGGATACCGGGACGGTCTTGTCGTAGACGTGATTCGTGTAATCGCAGTCCTCTCTCTTTGTAGTTTCCTTAGAATTATTACCGCTTCTTTCCTGCGGAGTAAAACCAGTTCTACGTTTCCTGATAGTACGCGTCGTTACTTCAGGTTCAGGCTGTTCGTTCTCTTGTGCTCTGGAACAAACGTTCAGGTATTTATGAAGAATATAAATTATAACGAGCAACAAACGTTCGGATTTTTATGAGAAATATCAATTATAACGAGTAACAACTGTATGCTTACTCTCTTAATGCCTCCTCTTCCTCTTGCTTTCTCTTTTCTTTCCTCTCTTTCAAGAGTTGAATGACGAGACGAATTGAAGAAGGGATAGCTATTATAGAACCTATTATCCACTTTGGTAACTGAAATGGAAGAGTGTTCCACATAGTTGGAGTAGGAATCTTTTCTAAAATGTCAGCCAAATCTGGAATGTCTATCTTGCTCTTTCTATTCTTTTTCTGCATCTTTTGAAGTTTGCTACCTAATACTTGTTCCTGTAATCGTGCCATAGTAAGTGTTAATTTCTATATTAATCGTATATATATATATAAAAGAAGCATGGTCTCTTGATTATAAGAATATGTTACTCACGTAAGTGTACCGTTTTTCAAAGTACGCCGCCCAAGCTACGAGATATTGCCCTATCGTGATAACTGTGAACAGGATAACACTCATCTCCAGTAATCCCATTTTTCGGACGTGACGGTAGTAATACACCGCCGATCGCCAATTTGGCAGTCCATTAACGAGCACATTATCGTACTTTTGCCGTTTCCCGGGATCTTTCAAAACGTCGTAAACGGCGACTAGCTAAAAGGAGAATTCAAAGTTGTCAGATATCAATTCAAGAAGCATAAGCATCTTACGTCTGTCCGTTTGTAAAGTACCTTTCTAAACTGCAGCTCCGCATCCTCCGCCGGGTTTTTGTCCGGATGCAGTTGCAACGACAGACGCCTGAAGGCCTTCTTGATCTCCGAGGCGTTCGCGGACTGAAGAGAAACAACAATTTATGTCAATCAATCTCTAATCGGAGCTCGCCGCTCCGCGCGCAATTACACACGACATCGCCCTAATGTATATGTACGTTCGAAGTTATATATCTGCAGGGAAGGTATACCTGCGTAACGCCCAGCACATCGTAGAAATTTTGATTGACCTCCTCAACGACGTCGAACACTTCCAGCTCGTCGTTGTCCCACGCGTACGAGGACCTGAACACGTCCAGGAAGCAGAGGACCCCGAAAACGACCAACGGCAGATTCATCTTCGTTCCTCACCGCATGCAGACATAATTACGATATGACACACGCGCGTCTCTACCCGGTGCACCGCGTGAAAATTCGTGTCCTAGGACATAATGTCGCTCCTTCACCCTGGGTGATCGGTCGCAGCGCGCTCAAGAGAGAGTCAGGTTAGAAATCCTCTTTTTGCCGCAGGTGCCACATTGTCAGATCCGCTCGTGTCTCGCAGCAGTCGCCGAGATTAAAGTCGGAATCGTCGAACACGGTCGATACGCGTGGAATCGCGAGAATCGACTCGACCAGATGAAGAGCATCTCACAACGCGTGTTCGAAAACAGGCTGGACTACTGTCAGTAAATAAAGTAAAATTATTCTTGTATTTTTTTTATGTATTTCTTCCCACACTTTTTCTTCTTTCTTTTTTTTCTAATAATAAAGTTTTCATCCTAAAGGCTAAAGGTCACATCAATCGATCAAGATCAAAGTACGTAGATTAATATAATGGCATTGAAAATTACTGACGCTGCGTTTCGTTTCTTTCATCGATGAATCACGATGAATTATAGCTAACGAGGAAATGAACAAGATAGACTCGCGTAAGCATAAAAAGCGTAGATTCTTATTATATGTCTAAATAGGTATTTTAAACATATTAAGATATTGTAATAATAGAATGAGAACAAATTAATGCTAATATTATAGATAAATATATTATAGAAGGTTGCGTTTTATTTGAGAATATAATTTCCCAGTAAACGAAAATGGATTAAAAATTTTAATTTTTAAACGAATTGAAATGGATTGGTTTTTATAGAAATATATATGTACATATTCATTCCTCGAAGGCCAATATGTGTATATGATTTAAAATTTTAATTATCCACTTCCGTTTACATGGGGTTGCGTATCATCCAGCAATTTTTCTTCTAATAACGACAATGACTAAGCAATGACGAAATATTTTTCATTTAATAAAGTACGTAAGATAAATATGTATTGCGTATAAAGTCAGCAAGTTAATTTTGAAAATTATGTCATCATCAGGATTTTCGACGAATCGGTAAACACTGGCGCGCTTTACGGAAGTCTGATTGGTAGACGAAAAGATATAAATATTTTTCTATTGCAGAGCGATTTCGATACGTGACGTAATATTGTGCTTTTCGAACGCGAGCAGTGGTTGTCACGGTTGTGTTGCTAGTTGCACGGCGGTCATCAATTGGGGAAACCGTTATTTAAAATGGATCTCGAAGTCGACGGCGAAACACGAATTTTTAATGAGGAACGCAACGACAGTCGAGTCACGAGAGGTACCGCGCGTCCGAGAGTCGGGCGCGAAGCGTCGGAACGCGTTAGCTTTACGCGCTGTTATTTCGCAGGTTCCGAGAATTCGCACGGGATATAAGAGAGACCATAACCTATGAGGCCAACTGCACTTGTGCGCGTTCACGCAGATATTTCGGGCTGGACAGTGGCAAGGGTATCGCTCGATCAAAATGTTGGAGGGACTCGTCGCGTGGGTGCTGAACAACTACCTCGGCAAATACGTGGAGAATCTCAACACGGATCAGCTGAGCATCGCCTTGTTGTCGGGTGAGGTTATGTCGCGCTACGCATTTATCGTCCCCGCTGCCACTTATATAAAAGCACTGTATACGCGCTATAACATTTGTTCCGGTATCATTCGGTATAATACATATTTGAACGAGCATTTGTTAACTATATTTCTCATGTGTCACACAGTGACGGTGTACGACAAGTGGGTTTATTACTTGTGCATCTTCTATATTTTTAATTCTTTAATGTTATTTTTATGCAAGAGTCAATTGATGTTATAATATTTATACGGTGCTACCGCAGCTTTAAATTGTTTTTTTTTTTTTAACGAATGTCTCTTTTACATCAGGGGAAGTTGAACTAGAGAACTTACCCCTGAAACGCGAGGCTCTGCGTCACATTGGGCTGCCGATGGAAATCAAGGCAGGGTTCATCGGTAAAGTCAGATTGCAAGTACCGGTCAGGCAAATAAGGACCGCGTCGTGGGTGATAGGTATAGAGCAGCTCTATTTAGTGGCGGGACCAATTAATTTGGACGAGGTAAGATATTGTGGTTTTCTATCTCCCGTCGTCTTAGAATCTTGATAGAATCTCGTTACTTTTGATAGATTATGTAAAGTATGAATTTTTATGTTATACATTTCTCAAATAACGAGTTTAAAAACAAATATTTATAGTATGACAACGAGGCGGAGGAGCAAGCAATATTAGAATATAAACTCAGTCGGCTAGATGCTTTGGAGGCCAGATGGAGAGCCGATATAGAGCACGATCCTGGTTATTATGCTTCGAGTTACAGTTCCTGGCTGAATTATGGCACGTCTCTAGTAACAAATATCATCGAAAATTTACAGTTGAATATTAAAGATGTTCATATTAGATATGAAGATGGTATTACACTACCAGAAGGTAAGCAAAGAGTCATACGCATATATGAATATAATGTGAATAGAAATTTATTTAAAAAGTTATTTGTTAAATGAATTTTTAACTTTTCAAAATGTATTTGTTAAATTTTTAATATTTTCATATTGATATTTACTATGTTTTTGATGACACTTGATCTTTTTTTTATATCTAGATAATGGCATTGCATTTGGCATTACAATTGGAGCGTTAACTACTCAAAGTTGCGATGCCAGCTGGATACCTAGTTCCACATCTTGGAATCTTACGGATGCGTCGTTTAAATTAATGGAACTCGATAGTCTTTCAGTTTATTGGAATCATGTGAAAAAAAAAGAACTGTTCGGTGGTCTTAATCTAGGCGATCTAGCTGTAAGACAGAGCACAATGTGTGCGCAATAACACAGCGTGCTAGTTATACTTTCATTTGTCTATATTTTATGACAATATTATTTTGTAACCATGATAGATTTTTTTGTATGATTTTTAGATTGCCATGAGTAAAAACAAGATTCATCGGCACATCTTATCGCCTGTGAATGCAAGAGCGCACATTAAGAGGGATCGAACTGAACGTCCATTGAGGTCTATTAATAAACCGCGTATTGTAGTAGATTTGCTCTTGGATGAAGTACCATTATTTATAACAGATGTGAGTCTTACAGATAACTATACGTCTATACTGATATACGATTAAATATGATTAATTCATTCAATATAACGAATTATACTTTTATAGCTTCAATATGAAGAGATGGTCATGTGTATCAAAGAGCTTGACCGTATAGATCGTCGTAAACAACAGTGGCGTTGTAGGCCAGTAATCCCCGTTAAAGAAGCTCGTAAAGAATGGTGGAAGTATGCCGCTAGGTGCCATCTCGGTAGAGATACGCTCAAACCGAGACCATCCTGGAAACATGTACATCTCAGAGCCAAGGAGAACGTTTCTTACGTTCAAGCGTACACCAAATTGTTAGGTACAAATGAATATTTTTAAATAGTTTTTTAAATAAATTTTGACAATAGCGTTCTCTAACGAAGAAAAAAAAAATTTCTTTTAAACTTTTTTTCTCTTTGCTAGGCTCACCTACATCGATCTTACCTCCGGAAGTTAAAGCGTTGAAAGAAAAGGTCGAGAACGAGCGGAATTTCGACGAGCTTCGGGTGTTGAGGGAACTGGCTATGGAGAACGTGAAACCTGCAAAGTCGCAACAAGAACCTAATATGAATGTGCCACAGGGACGCGGCATGCTCGAGCAATGGTTTCCACAGTGGTGGGGCTGGTACTCGAAGACACCTCACAGCAATAACGGAGCGCAAAACGGGAGTAGCTCGACCACTTTCGACGGGGAACTGCTGGACGTTTTGGCGGACACCGTGAACGATGACACTCTGCTGCGTCGCGACGCAGTGTTCGGACAGTTTAATTTCGCGCTGGTGCAAGGCGCGGTGTCGTTGTGCACCGCGAAAGACGGGAGCAACGGCAGAAAGACTGTGATAGAGTTGAAGTTCGAAAGAGTGAACCTGAGTTACGAGTCGCGACCCAGATCCGGCTCGCACAAGTTCTCGATCAGTTTGGGCGCGTTGTACCTGCACGATTTTCTCACGGAGAACTCCACGTTTCCTATTCTGGTGCAGCCCCAAGTCGCGTCCAACGGCGTGTCCTCGCGCGTTCGCAACTCCTCGGAGAAACTGACGAAGACGCCGCATCATTTGTTCGAGCTGATTTACGAGAAGAGACCGCAGCATATTAATGTGGATCATTTGTTGCACATGTACTCGCAGTCTTTAGACGTTGTATACAATCCGACTGTGATATATTGGTTGATAGATTTTGTATGCAAACCGCATCGATCGGTGTCGTCGAATCAGCGGTTCCAGGCGATGAAGCGTCGCACGAGGAGGCAGTTGATCAAAAACTGGGAACAGATCTTGGACGGCGACTTCGTATACCGTTCGTCCTGGGACCTGCAGTTTAAGATCTCTGCGCCACAGATCTTACTGGTGGAGAGCTTCGTCGACTCCAATGCGGCCGTGGTGATGGTCGATTTCGGCAAGTTACATTTATCGAATAATGGAAATCTGAATCAGATAATACTGAAAACAGAACCGATCAACAGTGACGACGACGACGACGACGAGAGATTCGAGACACCTTGCTCCACTCCACCCGGAAGTCAGGAGAACGGTTCCCTACATGATTTTCAGGGCCTGTCTGAGACGGAGTTACACAAGAAATTGTACGATCAGTACGCCATTGATTTAGTAGACCTGCAGATTTTAGTGGGTAAGACAAAGGATAACTGGAAGCACGTTCGCACGAGAGGCATGTCGAGCTTGCATTTTCTCGAACGTTTCAACATATCGTTGCAAGTCGAACGACGTGTCTTCACTACTTCGGATCCTAATTTCCCATCGGTCACGGTATCCGGTAATCTACCGAGACTGGTTGTGCACGTAAACGAGCAAAAAGTCGGTGCAATACGCCTAATTTATAACTTACTGTCGAGCTTCTCCAATTCAGCCGGTATCCCGCAGACGGAAGCAGTTAACATAGAGCCGAAAAGTCCTAGGAAGGAGGAAAATCTGGATCGTTCTTTAAGCCATGCGGTGATGGTGCAGTTTATCATCGATCAGATGGCCTTTGAATTGCAGTCTAGGGGTCGCAGCGTGGCGGAGCTGCAAGTGTCCGGCGTTCGGGCAGCCCTCAGCAAACGAATGGCAGATTTGAGCGTCTCCCTCTCCGTCCACGGTCTGCTCTTGGTCGACGCTCTTCAGGAATTCGGGCCCGATTTCGAACTGCTGGTGGCCAGCCACAAGCACGTCGGCATGGACAGCGTTTCCGGCAGGTTAAGGGATTCGGAGCCGACGTCGCCTATCTCGCCAGAATCGCCCGAGTCGCCAGACTCCACGAGACCGCCGCGATTGACTTCGCCCGTCGCCTTGACCAATGCCCTGTCCACTTTAGCGAGCAAAACCAAGACGCTGCATTCACCCAAGAATAATTCGGCGGTTGGCCTAGAAAAATTGGATTCAGAAGCGCTGATCGTCGTGGAGTTGACGCTGGTAGACGACCCTACGGAAAATCTGAGAATGGCAAATATACAATTTAATAATCTGGATATCATCGCCAATCAGGAAACGATAGTGGAGCTGCTAGGTTTCTTTCAGAGACTCTTGCCACTGCAGAAATCGCGACCGGCGTATGTCGCGAGCCGAGACGATTCTTTGTCCAGTCAAAGTACAGAAGTGAAGTCGATGTCAACGAGAACCGAGATCACCTTTGACTTTCATCGCTTGAACGTGCTACTTCTGCGCGCGGTCGTGCAAGACAATCACTTGGTGGGGCAGAAAATCGCCACGGCGACCATGTCGGATGCGCGTATACAGGCGACATTGGCCGCGAACACGTCAATCTCGGGCTCCCTCGGCGGAGTACAGGTTCTCGATCAAACGCTAACCGGGAAGACTCATCAACGGATAATCAGCGTGGGTAGGGATCCTCTGGCGGATCCGCCGCAACATCCGCTCGAGCACTTCAGTAATCTGTCTGACCAGCCAGAGGCGTTCAGATTCGTGGCCAATCGCAGCACCAGGCAAGCCAGCGACGAGGACTGCGTGGAAATCGATCTCGATCTCACGATACGCGTGGCCAGCGTGTGGTACACTCATGCGCCGCATCTGATATCGGAATTGCGGTCGTGTGCCGACGAGTTCAAGCAATACCTGAGCAACTTTGCGCGGCAAATCAGCGCCGCAGCCACCGATATGGCGATCGGTCTGGTGAACGCGGACGATTGGACTATCCCTCCGCGTAAACGGTTGCCGAGCGTCTCGGTTGATCTAGATAACGCGAACGCGCTTTCGCTGCGATTAGACGTGCTGCTGGAAAGCCCGGTACTCGTGATACCGCGTTCCTCGCATAGCAGGCAAGTATTCGTTGCTCATCTGGGTACAATGTCGCTGCGACACGAACCCCACTTGGGATCCATGGCGAAGCACAAGGTCACGCTGGAGGTGCGCGACATGAATCTGTATTCCCTCGAGGTGTCCGCCAACATTGGGCAGTCGCAAAGTAATCTGCCGAGAGCCGAGGAGATGTACTCGTGCAAGGAGTTCGGCAAACCGATACTGCACGACACAACGCTGAAGATTCTGGTGGAGAAGCAAAACACCTTGACGCAGAGTACGAGCTTCCTGCTCGATGCCGGCGAATTTACGAACAACAGTCCAATCGTGCAGGTGCACGGCGCCGTGATAACGCCGTTGAAGGTGTCGCTGTCGCGCGGCCAATACGAACAGTTACTCGACACCACTCACCGATTGTTCTCCATGCCTGCCGTGACTGCCACGGCCGCGGTATCGGAATACGACGATCTCGACGGGATGTCCGACTACTCGGACAAGCTCGATCTCTGCGTGAAAGTCTCGTTCGAGCTGCCGATCCTCAGCGTGGAACTGAAGCAGGCGCACTCCGAGCAGCCGCTGGTGGAGCTGTCGATGCGCGACTTCATCGTCAAGTATGACAAATTACATCGAAACGAGTCCAGCGTGCAGGTCGCACTGCGCTCTCTGCTGATGGAAGATCTTCTCTGCCCGGTCGGCTCGCGGCATCGTTGCATGATGCAATCGTCGGCGCCCGCGCGCGCGAAACTGCCTACGGGCGCTTCGAAATCGTGTCCGGATCTCGCGTTCGCGCGACAATACAAAAACGCCTTCGGACGTGGCAGTCTGCCAGACCGGTTGGAGACCTACACTCTGTACGACGCGATACCGGCGCACTGGCGCAGGAAGCCGGCGATCTCGTCGGCCGACACGCCGACCACGCCACCGCCGTCGCCAGGCGGTATCACCAGTGAAGAGAACTTGGTGCTAATGAGCATCACCATGACGCGTCCCGAGGAGAACGGCCGCATCGCACCGGAAGATCGGTACCATCGCAAAATGGTAACCGTGGACTTCAATTGCCTGGACTTAGTGATAAGCGTGGAGTCGTGGATGGTGGTGTTTGACTTCTTTGGAATTGCAGGCCTGTCCGGGGCGGCGGATGACGAAGTCGCCGCGCATCGAGCCACGCCGGACAGCGACAGCACCGGCGTGAGCAAGGTAGACGACAATTTACCGGTGAGGTCGGAAACGGAGATAGAAGTGAGATCGTTGACGCTGGTGCTGACGCAGCTGGAGCGCGAGATAGCTAAGGCGAATGTGTCCAACGCCAGTATGCATATCCTTAAGACGGTGGACGGCAAGACCAAGGTATCAGGATCGTTGGGCTCGATGTCGTTGCTGGATCTGACGCCGCACGGCCGATTCTACCGCGAGAGATTCCTGTCGTCCGGCAGGAAGGCGCTCAACTTCCAGTACTCGAGCTACGCCGATTGCGAGGATCGACCACACGACGCGCGGCTCAAGCTAGAAATGTCCGCCGTGCATTACGTTCACACGCAGAGATTCGTGGCGGAGTTGCAGGCTTTCTTCGGCCATTTCTCGCAACTGTGGAGTATCATGCGGAATCTGCGGGCCGGCGTCGGTGCTGTCATCGATATGAACAAGCGTGGCACGCGACTGTCGTTGCAGCTGCACGCCGGCGCGCCGGTTATATTGCTACCAGTGAGTTCCAGGTCCGACGAAATGATTCTGCTGGATCTCGGAGAGCTCACCGCGCACAACAGATTCGACACCTCGTTAATTGTTCCGGACTGTTTGCTGGACGTGATGCTGCTCGAGCTGGTCAACATGGACGTGTACGCGGCGCGACGGCTGAAATGCGACTCGAGCTTGAACGAGGACGCGGACGCCTTGATGGTGGGTGGTTTTCTCATCAAGAAGATGGGCTCCTCGTTGCTCACGGAAAAGTGTCATCTGAAGCTGCGCGTCGAGCGGAATCTCGACACTTACATCAGCCGCGACATCCCCGATCTCAGCATACATGGTATACTGTCGACGATGGACTGTGCCCTGGATCCAGAGCAGTACATGCTGATCCGCGGTCTCCTCTCGTACAACATCGGCGAGAATCTGGACGATCTGCGCCTCCTCGTGCAAGATTTAAATCACACGGTGGAATACGCGATCCCGAGCGCGGACAATCGCGCGAAGACGTGGACCCGATCCTGCATAACTCTCGAGCTGGTAAACGTGACAGTGAAACTGCATCCGAGTCACAACATTGCAGCGCTCGCGTGCATCAACTTCATCAAGTCCCGACTGACGCTGGACTCGCTGAGCGACGGTTCACAGGACATCGATCTGGTGTCGCAGGAGATCCTCATTACGGACACGCGTTTTCAGAACGAGCCGGTTGATCGACAGTGCAACGTGTTCACGCGAATCCTGCAGCCGCTGAGAGACACGACCGAGGCCGCGTCGCAGGATCGCGTCCAGGCGGAGGTACATCATCGAAAGCGTAAAGCTTACTCGGCTACTACTATTCTGCTGCACAGTATGCGACTGACCGCCATCCTGGACTGGTGGCAGGCCGTGCGAGACTTCCTGCTGTTGAACTCCCCGGAACCGGACCCTATACCCGGCGCCGTGCACGTGTCAGTCGTCAATCAGGAGGCCGAGATCGTCGACACCGCCGCGGTCGCCGTGCCATTTGAACTGAAAATCAACATCACGGACTCCGAGCTGGTCATCGTCGAGGACACCGCGATACTCGACACCAACGCCGTGATTCTCAGGACCACCGCCGTCTTGTCGTACCGCTCGACGCCGCAGGAAGGCGAGAAGCCGCTCTCCTGCAATCTCTCGCATTGCGAGTTATTCTCGTGTATCCTGGGCCTGGAAAACGAGACCGCCCTATCGATCATCGATCCGGTCGGAGCGAGCCTGGATCTGACTCAAGACAGATGCTTGGAGATTCAGCTGCAGCCGTTGTGCGTGAGACTGAGCTACCACGACGTGACCATGTTCTCCAGGATGCTGAGCTCTCTGCCTAAACAGACTTTATGGGCGAAGCAAAGATCGAGCGAGGTGATGATGGACAGCGGCCAGATGGACAACCAGGTGTTGAAGCTAATCACTTTAGGTTTCGCAGAGGCCGACTGCAGAATTGCGTTGGACCAATGTGATGGCCAGCTGGACGATGCCGCTTTATGGCTGACACAGAACGCGGTGCCGATAAGCGCCGGGGCGATCGCAGCGAGCGACGATTCGGTTTTTCAAGCTATAGAATTACAGGTGTCCTGCATGCGGGTCTGTATCATCGACGATTGTCGCGACGCAGACGTACCGCTCTTGGAGATCACTCTGGCGGACTTTAACATGCGGAAGATGAATCTTCAGCCCGGCTTACTGTCAGCCACTATCGGCGTGGACTATTACAATCGAGTGCTGAGCGGCTGGGAACCATTTATCGAGCCTTGGCGAGCGACTATCGAATGGGAACAGATATTCACCAGTTCGTTTGATCCGAAGAGACTGCACGTGTCTATCAACTCCTATGATTCGGTGAACGTTAATGTCACGCTGACGCTGGTGGAACTTGTGCAGCTGGTCAAACACAACTGGACGCAGGATTACTATCTGTCTAATGGAAACACGATCGTCACTAAATCGGCGACAACGGGACAGGTGTATCGACGTCGGTCGCCCTTCATACCTTTCGCCCTGAAGAATGACACTGGCTGTCGGCTTTGGTTTAAAACATTCATCGCCACTGCGGACGAGACGATAGACGTCAGCAAATCGACATCTCAAGCGAAAAACATCCTCGACAAAGATAACACGTGGATAGAGGTGATTCCAGGAGACACAACGCCGTTCACGTTCGAGGGGAGAGGTAAAATGAGGCATCACGCGACGCATATTGTTAGGAGACATCAGATTGCGGTTCTGGTCGAAGGATGGAAGCCGGTGGATCCTGTGACCGTCGATCGTGTGGGCATTTATTTTCGACATGCGAATGCTGATATTGCCGGATTTCAGGTAAACACATTATTTTATACTTGTATTCCTTGATTTTAATTAAATTAAAACAAGCAACATTATTTATATTTATTGTTTTGTATCTCTCTGTATTTCTTTATTCTGTCTGTATTACATATTTTTACGATATTTTTTTATATTGTCTGTATTACATATTTTACAAAAATTTATAATTATTTTGTAAATTTCAATTTTTGCCTCATACTTCTTTACTCGCGTATATTATGTATGTTTTTAGTAGCTCAAAGAGAATTTATTTTTAAATATTATTAAAATACTCTCATAGTAATAATAATAATTTGTTCAATTTTAGCCGATCACACCGAGAGCTAGAGTCGTGTTTGCTGTGGAATTGGAAGGATCCGCCAGAAAATTAGTTACTATTAGATCAGCTCTTCAGGTGTCCAACAAGCTAGCTCATCCGATCGAGATTAAAATGGAGAAATCATTAAACCAACTTGGATGTTAGTTTTTTTTATCTTTCACAATTTATTTTTAACGATGATTAGCAGATCTATATAACCATATCCTTTCAGACTTGTCGCTGACTTCAACCAGCACTGGAAGAATTCTGCAAGTGCCAGCGCAATCAGTGATGTCTGTGCCTTTGACGCACACCGGGGTGCAGATGTGCTTCAAACCGCTCATCTCGAACTACCTGTTTCAATATTGCATGGAATCGGTGGACTGGACGATAGTTAAGAAACCGTTGGAGGTAACGGAGAGCTATGTCACTTGCCGGACTAATCAGAACAATATATTCAGGTATGCGAAACGGAGCTCTTTCCTCGATAAAGCTAGCGAAACTGTGCGAAAACTTGATATTATTTTCTCTTACCACAGGATGTGCGTGGCTGTAAGACGAAACAATTATCCACCTGACGGTATACAAGTGTTGCCGGCACACACGATCGCTGTAATGGCACCCGTAACGCTGACGAATCTATTGCCATACGAATTGATGTATGAGGCAGGTGTAGAAGGCGGCAGAATTGCGCCTGGCTGCAACGCGGATTTACATTGCGCAAATTTGAACGAGCAACTGGAAATTACGATTCAATTAGATGGTTATCCAGGATGTGGAGTAGTAAGTATATATGGCAACTAATAATAATTGTTTTGTTTTGTTTTACACGAATTGTTTTACGTCGAATTTCTTTGATAACTTTATTTATTGCGTTTTAACGCATTTCAGATAATACTGCCATCAAACAGCTCTTCTTTCACCGCTCGTCTTAAATTATTGGATTCTGCCAGCAGAATGCTTTACCTACAGGCGACTGTGGCCATAGAAAAAGGTGCCGCCGTGCAAATCAACGTCACCGCACCTTATTGGATCATAAACAAGACTGGCTTACCGTTGGTGTTCAGACAGGAGGGAGTCGCTATCGAGGCGGCGGGACAATTCGAGGAGCACGAGAGGGCAAGGATGGTAGCGCCGTTGCTATTCTCGTTCAGCGACGAGGAGGCCAGTAGAACTTTATCGGTGAGGATCGGAACGGAAGTTCATCCTCATGGAATACCACAGTGGTCTCAGCATTTTCATTTGCAGCCCGGTATTCACGTAAGTATATCACATAATGTCTTTAGATTTTTATTGTAACAACTCTATTATTTTCACAATTAATATACATTATTAATATATTATGTATCATATTATACATACAATTAATATATTATATTGCATATACATGTATTTTTGTATGTTTAACTTTTTAATAATTATATAATTATAAATTACTTATCATATAATTATTAGATCACTTTTGTGTGATGCGTACAAGAACAAATTCATGCAAACTAAAATACAAAGTATTTTAATTATTTGAGTTAAAAATAATTACCGTTCGTATGAATAAAACATTAAAATAGATAAGAGTCAAGCCAATAAACGAGCAAAACTTTTTTGGCTAAATAAATTATCAGTAAATTATTATTTATTTAACCAAAAAAAGTTTTGCTCGTTTATTGACCTGACTCTTATCTATTTTATTATTTTAACTATTCCTATGACGATCATACATTTACTTTATGTTTTATAGGTTCATCGCTTGAGAATCAGTTTGCGCGATGGCAGACCCGATATAGTTTATTTAATTAGCGTGGCCACTCGTGCGGCAAGAGGAAGATACAGAGCCACTACAGTGGTTACATTATCACCGAGATATCAATTGCACAATAAGTCATCTTATACATTAGAGTTGGCTCAGAAATGTTTTACGACGACTATCGTAAGTTTGTTACAATCAATTACGGCGATATAAAAAAAAAGTGATAACTTTTGTTGCTTAATGTGTAATATTGATTTTAGTCTCACCCAAATGCCCAGGCAACGTATATAACGACTATGCCCGACTGTCACATGCCTTTTCATTGGCCACGACTCGATAAAGATTTATTGCTCTGCGTCAGGATCACCGACGTTAAGGATTGCATGTGGTCAGGCGGCATCAGATTGGATGACAATTATTCATTGACCATTAACGTCAGAGATATAACAGGGAAGATGCATTTTCTACGTGTCGATGTAGTGCTGCAGGAAACCACCTTCTTCGTTGTATTCACCGATGCCGATACTATGCCACCGCCTATAAGAGTAGACAATTTCTCGGAGGTTCCTTTGCTCGTTAATCAGGTATATTTGTATCTCGTTCGAATTCCGCGTCTAAATTACGATATTTATACCGGCTTGCTATTATTTTTATGAAATTTTATTATTATTTGCTATTATGCTAATTATTTAATTTGCTAATCTGTTCGTGTAGATCGGAGTTCGCGACAATCTGCAGTGGACCGTGAGACCCCATTCATCGGTACCATACGCTCTGGACGAACCAATAAAAACTGCCGGTTTAGTGCTGACAGCACCCGGAGGCGTGACAGCCTCTTACGATTTAAATATATTGGGAGAGGGTAGAGGACTGACTTACGAAAACTTTATTTATATCGCATTCACTGGTACTATACTTTAAATAAAGATGAAACAAAAAATAAAATACGTATACATAATTAATAAAAATATTAATTGCCCGTGCTTTTATTTCGACAGGCACCTTCAAAACTGATACCGATCTTGGTTCAGGCGAAAGCAATTTAGATCCGCTGGATGTAGAAACTCAAAGATTGGTCTTGGAAGCCGGTTCTGGCGGTTGGGTTGCCCTTCGGAGGAAACAGTACGGCGACAGAGCGCAACTTTGGAGAATGACCGGCGATGGACAGTTGCAGCACGAAGGTAATACAAGAGTATCAATGAAAACAATCATTTTCAACATAATTTACAAATGTATTTGTGTACACTTCTTGTACACAAAAGTGTACAATTTTTGTACACAAAAAGATAATCATGATAATGTACCATGTTTTTTTTATGTACATAATTTTAATGAGACAGGCTCCAGTCCACCAAGGGACAAACATTCGAAAGCTCCGGACACGATATTCGTTTTGGACATAGCAGGCACCGCACCGCAGCCGTTCACCTATTGCGCTCTCGCCCTGAGGAAGCCGGACCCCAGGCGACGATCGACGCAGACCTGGCGGTTCACCGACGACGGACGTTTGTGCTGCGCGCATAAGAATATGTGTGTTCAGTCGAAAGACGGCTTTATGGGACTATACGAAGGTTGGGACGCTGCTTTCATTTGCACGCATTTGCTGATTCCGCTTGATTAAATCGAAACAAGAAAGTTGTCCGCGAAAGTTGTGAATTTCTTTTTATCACACGCTTCATCGTCAGATATACTTTGTCATTTTTGCGTTGCTTTGAATTTTTTGATTGGTTCAACATATCCTTATTTGCGAGCTAATTGTCATTTTTAAATGCGTGTGTGATACAAATCTAATGCTTCTGCCTGTAAATGCGAAGCATAAGAGGTAGTAAGTTGAGCGTACGGTATCGTTGGAATTGGCAAAACTGACTTGAGCATTCAATGAAAAGAACGATGTCAGCTGCGCGACATTTGTCTTACGATATTATATTTTTTATATTCTACAGTTTTGTCTGCCGATTATCTAAATTGCATTCGTTGTTGAGAATTCTCTATTTTTTTTTTCTTATCATTCCTTTCTCGCTGTTTACGACTAGAGAGACCTAAATTGATCATGAATGTTGCAGGCGGCAGTGTCGCCCGTTGGCAAATGTGTACGTATAGTTTCAGAGTACACATTAAAATCGGCTATTTCCTTACCCCGAGCTTAATACTCTGAGCCCATAAGTATTATATGCTATAATGTATCTATCTGCTTGTTTTGCCCCTTTTTTTATTTTTTTTTTCTTCGTAAGCATTGCACACATCTTTCTCATAACGTCAAAGCGCGATAAAGAAAAAGATATGTCTCTTTCTAAATAAAGTCCACGAGAGAAGGAAAAAACATTTTTTTCAGAATAAAATTCTAACATATGAAAATACAAGTTGCCAAATAACTTGTGAGTCAATCACGGCGTTATCGTACTCTGGCGTACAGTGCTTTTGCATTCGCAAATTTTTTTTAATTGTACAATTGTATCGCGCGCATTTTCACGCGCAGTAAAAGGAACGCCGCTGTTTTTGTAGGGAGCGAAGCTGTACTGGGCCCACAGACACACGGTAATCCACCGCCCATCGAGCAACGTGTGGGTAGACAAAAGTTGCGACCGGGTTCTGGATTCTTATCGATCAGAGTGACCACTGACGGCCCGACTCGCGTTCTACAAGTTTTGGACATCAAGGAAAGGGTGTGTAACACGCCGTATCTTTACCGTATCTACTATTATTTACTTATTAGTTTCATTCACTTATTAGTCACTTTGCTAAATTATTCTAAACGTCATTCACATGAGAAGTGAATCTCTCGCACCAAAAATAAATATGAAGTTAATTAACGCTAAGATTTCTTTGCACTTTACAGAAGAAAACGTTCGCTTTACTCGAGGAACGCGATTGGTCGCACATCGCCGTAAGTCATCGGCCCACCCAGATCGACGCCGATATTAAAAAATTGGATTCCAGCGAATTAAATCTGGAGCTGAACTTACCGACCGGCCTCGGATTGTCCATCGTGTCGCAGAGGCCGGTAGAAGAGCTGTTGTTCGCGCGGCTGGCTGCTATCTCCTTAGATCTCGTGCAGACCCCATTGAACACCACGTTGGATCTGAGCGTCGCCGACGTGCAAATTGACAATCAACTGTTCGAGGCGCAGTGCACCTCGGTCTTGTTTGTGACACGGTCGTCCCGCACGGAGGACGAGTACCGACCCGCTCTTCATTTGGCGGTGGAGAAGTTACAATCGAAGAATCAGAATGCCGAGATATATAAACATGTCATAGTGAGTGTCAAGCCCCTGTGCGTGCACCTGGAAGAAAAATTTATCCTGAAACTGGCAGCGTTTCTCGGAATTGGCAAGTCGGAGCTGGAAGTGCCAGTCGACGAGAACGATTTCAAGGCGCAAAGATTTATTTCCGAGGTGTCCGCCGCACACGCCAAGAGATATTACTTTGGCGCTCTGAAACTCGTTCCGAATCAAGTACGTAAATCTCGGCTCTGTTGGTCGTTTCATAAATTAGCAACGCATTACTTATTCGCACATGAATTTTTTTTCTTTTTAAGGTAAAACTCAGCGTGCTCACTACGACGAAATTGCCACATCATCTGCAGGCTGTAAAGAGGAAATTAGGATTGACTTTAATTAACTTTGAAAATGCCACTATCGAGTTGGAGCCGTTTGTTAAAAAACATCCTTTCGAGAGCAGTCAATTCCTAGTTCATTCCATCGTAAAGCATTACAAAGATGTATGACAATTATAGATTTTAATATATTTTCTTTATTCGCTTGTTTATTGATTTAGTGAATCAAACATGGTATTTCAGGAGCTGAAGTGGCAAGCTGCAGTTATTCTGGGTTCCGTCGATTTCTTGGGAAACCCTCTTGGATTCATGAATGACGTCACAGAAGGCGTTTCTGGCCTTATCTACGAAGGCAGCGTGAAAAGTCTAGTGAAGAACGTCACGCACGGTATTTCGAACTCGGCGGCGAAAGTGACGGAATCTCTGTCGGACGGTTTGGGAAGAGTGATTATGGACGAAAGACACGAAGAGGCGAGGCAGAGAATCCGGGCTAACACCACGGGAAGTAGCGACCACTTGGTAGCCGGTTTAAAGGGTTTCGGTTTCGGGCTACTTGGTGGTGTCACCAGTATATTTAAACAGACGTACGACGGAGCAACCAGCGAGGGTTTTCCAGTAAGTATTTTAAAATAAATCTAGTTCTTTAAATAATTTAATTTAGAACTTGAGGATAACTGGACGATGTAAAATCTCAGGGCTTCTTCGCGGGTTTTGGAAGAGGCGTAGTAGGCACAATAACGAAACCCGTCGTTGGTGTCTTGGATCTGGCAACGGAGACAGCTAGTGCTGTACGAGAGACAAGTAGAAGGTAGATATGATTATATCATGTTATAATCATAATTGTGTCCCTCTGTCGAATATTTCTTCACGTCTAAATAAATTTTTCTCATAAACAGCGCTCATCGCGCAATACCAAAGCGTGACCGGCCGCCGCGTGTCGTCAGCGGTTCTACCGGATTGCTACCGCCGTACAATCGTCAGCAGGCTGAGGGCCAAGAGTTCCTGTACAGCATTAACAATCGCGACTACTCCGAGCTCTTCGTCGCCTACGAGTGTCTGTGCAGCGGCTCGGAGAACCTTAAAGTGCTGGTGTCCAACGAGAGGGTACGCGTCATCTCGGGCGGCACGAAAGCGGTGGTGACCCAGGTCAGCTTGGCGGATCTCCTGCGTTGCCAGCCGATGCAAAAGGTTCAAAGCAACAACGTCATTCTGCATTACATAGAGTTGATATCCAGATTCGACTCGTCGGCCGCGGTCAATCTCGACGGGTTGGCCGAATTGCTGAGACGGCCGAAGGTGCGCTGCGACAACGAAGAGGTGGCGAAGCGGGTAAGTAAATAATCGCAGAACACGAAATGTAATTTCAAATTGGTGCCAAGCATTTCTCTCTCTCTCTCTCTCTCTCTCTCTCTCTCTCTCTCTCTCTCTCACCTCGCGACAAGCGGTCTAACGCATTATATCCGTTCATTAACTCGCTTTCCTCACATATCGTAGGTATCGCAGCAAATAAATTATGCCAAGGGGATGCACGAAGAGCGAAGTTTGACGTTGTCGTCGTCGGATAACATGTTGGACGACGTGCAGCACTACAAGTAATCGAACGCACGACCACAGTTCGATCTTATTTCTGACGCGTTTCCAGGATATTCTCTCTAGTCAAATTTTTAACTTTATCTCGTAGAACGCACGAGAATCGGTAATGCCTTAGTTAACGACGCTTAACGTTAAGTTTACAAGAAGACTGATACGAATTATCATAAAAGTAATAATTGCTCGTCAATATATATAAATGAGACGCATAAAAATCGTTCGAGCATAATCAAATTCTAATTTCGCGTTTTGCAACTGCGGTACAGATGGCATAGAAACTTTTTTGATACGGATCGATAAGGTGTAAAAAAAGCGTAAAGTAGTCATATAGGAGAGATTTTCTAATCGTGTACATATGTAATACGTGTACATACATGTACAATTCTACGCGCGTGCAGGATGTTCCGGAATCACCGTTCTCGATGAGGCTGTCTCTTTACAGTCAATCTTCAGCGAAAGTCACAAATGAGAAATTTTTTACCTCAGTAATGGAGCTACGTATTTTATTATGTGCTTCGAGTTTTAACTACTTGTAATTCAAGATCGGCGCTTTCAAAAAAGTAGATTTTTCTTCTATGTCGGTTCGGCGTCCAGGACGCAAAGATTTTGGGACGCGTCGTGTCTGTGTACATATATAGGTATTAATGGAATCGTGAATTACTTATTTACGAAGGGATGACCTACTTAAAACGCAATACTTAGAACCAAAGCATGCTTTTAGTATATACAGTGTGTACATTCAAGTAAATACAAATATCGTAGCACGTGTTCATTCTTTTATATATATATATACATATCTGTTTTTAGTTGCGCACATCTTTTAGCCGTTTGCACATTTCATTTTGCAATGTCTCAAATGTACTTTGTGTACAGAAAACAGTCCTCGCGTATGTACGAACACACAATGTGTATAACAATTAACGAACGTGTAAATCTGTACAAATGCATAGATTAAGTCAGCTGTATATTTAAGTACTTTTGTAAAGCTGGCGTACGAGATGTGAAGATAATATATGTTTGTAATATACATATACATATATATAAAATGTTGATACTTGTTAAGCAGATTAATAAATGTTACAAGTATGACAGTGAAGTTGGAGACAAAAGGACTTTGGCATTACATTCTAGGGTACTACAATACGACTGTTATAAAATTAAAATCACGATAGGAAAGTCTCGGGCGTATTTTTTAAATCAACGTCAAAAATAAAATTCCGTGGTACACCGTGTGCCGTGAAAATAATAGTCGGAAGTAGAATATGAACTTGACTGGAGAATTTATTTCTCGCGGCGAGATTATTGCTTTGATTTCGATACTTCGGTCTCTCGCCGCGCGAGGTCACTCAGATCAAATGTCATCCTCGGATTCGATCGAATGCGTGTGTGTGGAACTTTGAAAAGAGTCGGTGCCGTCTGACGGGCCGCTTCTGTCGTCGCACGCTTGTGCCGTTGTGATTTCCTGTACCCTCCTGATACATGTAACGAGGATCCGCCGTTGACGAACCGCCCGGAGACATGGAAGAGACATGTCTGGAGGAGGGACCTGCGGTAAATTTCGAAAGAGCCACCCTAGAAATCGCTAATACCGACCGTGAGTTTCGCCGTCAGTTTTTCTCGGGGGATCAACAACAATAATTTCTAATAACCACTGATCACCACTGATTCTGCAAGAGAACATCCGAGAGGATAAATTTCGTCGTCTATTACAGGCATTTTTTTTTTTATTTCAGCCGTCAGACCGTCGGAGAACGTGGACGACACGTCCGCGAAGCGAAATTCGGCCTCGAGAAATGTGTGCAATGTACCGTTCAAGCATATAGATGTTCATACATTTTTCACCGACAGGAACGAGGTCGTGGAAAGAGCGATAAGCGATTGTACGGAGAAGCTGATAAAGGAAAATAATGACGAGCTTGTCGGAAGTTGGCTTCTGACCGAGTGCGTACCGTATCAGAATATTAATGGACAAGCCTCCATATTCTTTGTTGTTATAATTTTACATTGAAAAATCTATTTGTTTTTTAAGGATAAGCCTATGGGACACGGAAAAGGAGAGACTCGTGCTATTAGCGACGAAAGCCCTCTATTCTGTGAAGTACGATTTTATTTCCCTAAAGATACTTGACTTTAATCGAGTACCCATATTGCTGTTTGATACAGTAGTTGCGGGAGATTTGATTTATCCAAACTCTTCTCTTGCACCGTGAGTATTTATGATATTAATATATAGACGTGTATATATATATCTTTTTTGTATCATAGAAGATTGTGTTGTAATATTAATTGCTATTCTACAATAATACTGTACAGGAAATTTGAATCACATTAAACAATTTGTACAAAGAGTTTATGTGGTAAACACAAGTTTACAATCTACAGCTTGAACGAGATATTTTTGATAACATCCCTTTTTCATGGAGATTTATAACGAGACATACATACAGCAAAAAATATTTGTTTAATATAAAATAGAAATTGCAGCTTCTATGTTCTTGTCTGGTGTATATTATAAATATTATTCACGTTAATCTAATATATTCTAGACGATTAAGTGGATTGGCAGAAGGCGTGTCGTCTGTAATTCATTGTGCGGTACGTCAGGAATGGTCGTCTATCGCAGGTTGCTCTAGTCTTACTCAATTTGAGCCTAGGTATACAGCTTTGTTATCTGTTAGCACTAATTTTCCATTCTGTGTTGTCAGCTTGCCTTTCATTTTATTTTTATCGCTTCTTTATTGTATTATTTTATGTATCTGCATTAAACATTTGTTTTATACGCTTTCTGTATGTTTACGTTATGTGCAATTTTTATTTTATTTTAAAACTCCGTCAATTTTGTTGCAAAAGTTAAAGTACTGTAAGAGATGTATACGCATAAACAAAATTGGGTTTCATGCCTATATATATTGGAATGTCGAAACAGGATTTTTTAATTTTTCAGAAAGCGGCATATGTCGGGAATAAGAATTATGTGGAACAGAGGGCGGCCCCTGCCTCTTATAAAAAAGTGGAATCCGTTTACGAGAGATATACCATGGCTCACGTATGCCAGTCATCCATTGTTCTGGTACAAAGGTAAATGTTAAAATCGA